AGTAGAGTGGGAATGGAGATTTTGTAGTATCCTTCCCCTGGATTGGGGTGGGAAAGGGAGATTTTGCAGTATCCTTCCCCTGGAGTGGGGTGGGAATGGAGATTTTGCAGTATCCTTCCCCCAGGGTGGGGTGGAATGGAGATTTTGCAGTATCCTTCCCCCAGGAGTGGGGTGGAATGAAGATTTTGCAGTATCCTTCCCCTGCCACGCCCACCCAGCCACACCACGCCCACCAAGCCACGCCCACAGAACCGGTAGTAAAAAAAAAAAGGATTTCACCACTGCTTTATAGAGTGGGTATTAGTACTTCCCTTGATCTTGATTGTATCCCTCTGTTAATAAAATAATAATAATAATAATAATAATAATAATAATAATAATAATAATAATAATAATTTTTATTTCTATACCGCCCTTCTCCCGAAGGACTCAGGGCGGTGTACAGCCAATTTAAAAAAAACAAGACACAACAATGATTAAAATTTAAAATAATTAAATAGATTTGGCCGGTTTAAAACCCCAAAAAATTTAGAATACCCCAATTTAAAACTATTATGTTGATAGCCCGGCCTGGCGGAACAACAGGGTCTTCAGAGCGCAGCGAAACACCCGGAGGTCGGAGATCTTACGTATTTCCGGGGCAGTTCATTCCACAGGGCTGGGGCTCCCACAGAGAAGGCCCTCCCCCTGGGCGTCGCCAGCCGACATAACTTGGCCGATGGCACCCTGAGGAGACCCTCTCTGTGGGAGCGGACTGGCCGGTGGGAGGCTATTGGTGCAGAAGTCGGTCTCGAAGGTACCCGGGTCCTATGCCATGGAGCGCTTTAAAAGGTGGTAACCAGCACCTTGAATCGCACCCGGAAGACCACTGGGAGCCAGTGCAGCTCACGCAGGAGGGGTGTCACACGGGCACAACGAGTTGCGCCCATAACCATGCAGTTTAGGATTGCGTTGGCTTTTTTTGACAGCTGCGTCGTTCACCTCTGTCAGAATCAGATCGTCCTTCCTTTTCCTCTTCCCTTGCAGAGACCGCAAACATGGCCACGGACCCAGACAGGGAAAACGGTGCCGAAGTCAACCAAGGCAACGACCTACCCGTGGGAGCAGGCAAGCCAAACGTGGGGGCCGCCCTTCGCTCTGTGTTCCGACGGCGGACGCTCAGTGGAAGGCCGTTTTCCACGACCGCGTCCAGCCGCGATCTTTGGATCTGCAGGGCATCAAGATGACGAGGCTGCAGAAGAAAACGCTGCAGCAGGAGAAGATGGAAAAGGAGGACCCCGCCGGATAGCCTGTCCCAAGATTGGTTCAACACCGAGTCCATGACTCTGGAAACCCGGGCGTATCTTCTCGATAAGCTTCTGCCCACTTTGGTGCCCGCCGTGGAGAAGCTGCTAAAGGTGGCAGAACGGAAGCAGGCGCTGGAGCCCAAGGAGTCCGAACCCTGCCCCTTTAACCCCATGATCTTCCTGGGCGAATACCTGATGAGGCATAACCCTACCTACGATCTGAGCGCCAAGCCCAACCCCTACGTGCGAGGGCTGAAGGCCATCACGGATCAGCTGAAGACACGCGTGCCCGACACGACGCTGCATAAGTGAGTTAGGTCCACCTGAGGGGAGCCGGTTCAAACGGAAAGTTGGGCCTGATACTAAGGGAGAATATCTGTAGCTCGGGGTTGAACGGTGGGGGACTTGGTGCTCTCCGAAGGTTGGTGGATTTCTTGCAGACTTTCGTGACCCAACTAGGAACATCATCAGTGCTAGAAGGGAGAAGGAGGAGATTATTGTGGGGTCCCTGTGCTCTTGAGCTTTGTTGCATTTCTTGCAGATGTTTCATGACCCAACTAGGGAACATCATCAGTGCTAGAAGGAAGTGGGGTTTGGAGAAAGGAGGAGGAGGAGGAGAAGGACAACTGTGTAGTCCTTGGTGCCTCTTCGGCTGCCTCTTTTTTTTATAACCTCTTCGGCTGAAGAACTTGTAGAAAAAATGTTTTTAAAAGAAAAAAAAAAGCCTCTGCCGATCAGGCAACTCAGCTGGGATCGTCAGAGCCTTTTAAAAGCATTTTTTTCCTACAACCTCTTTGGCCGAAGAGGTTATAGAAAAAAATGGTTTTAAAGTTAAAAAAAAAAAAGTTGGCCATGCCCACACACCAAAACCACGCCCACAGAACAGGTAGTAACAAATTTCACATTTCACCACTGGTACAAGGTCTCCTGCTTGAGTAGGTGGTTGGAGGAGAAGACCTCCAAGGCCCCTTCCAACTCCGTTATTCTGTGATCTGAGTTCTCCTGACTTTTAATAACCCTGATCTCACCATGTTACCTTTGTGTCCTGCAGACTCGCTCAGATGAAGGACTTGGTGGAAAGAAAAACGCCATCATAGGGAAGACGTGGAGAACATCAAAGCTCAAGTCAACCAACTGCGCGAGCAGGCCTTAGCCGTGCAGTTCCACACGAATGGACCCTGGATGCCACCGACAGCTACCGCTGGCGCTGGTAACTGGGGCGAACGAACCGGGGCCGCCACAGCTGGCTGGCAAAGACCTTCCCCAGACATCTTCTCCTGAGAAGTAACAGAAGGCTGGCCCTCTCCTTTCTCCTCCCTCCGCTAGCCAGATCTTGTCTGAAGGCATCTGGAGAGCTTTTGGGTCAGCAAGTAGGATAGGGAACCAAGCAAGAGGAGAAGGCCAGCAGCTGGTCTGCTCTGGTTTCTTCTGGAGATGGGCTGAGGCTCAGGAAAGACCCATCAACTCATTCCACAAACCAGCATTGGAAGCTTCTCTGGATCCAATTACTACATGCAGGAGTCTTCAACCTTGGTGACTTTACAAGTTGTGGACTTCAGCTTCTAGAATTCCTCAGCCAACCTGGCTGAGCCAGCCTGGCTGAAGAATTCTGGGAGCTGAAGACCACAACTTCTGGGAGTTGAAGTTCCTCAGCCTGGCAAGGAATTCTGGGAGTTGACATCCACAACTTCTGGGAGTTGAAGTTCCTCAGCCTGGCGAGGAATTCTGGGAGTTGAAGTTCCTCAGCCTGGTGAGGAATTCTGGGAGTTGACATCCACAACTTCTGGGAGTTGAAGTTCCTCAGCCTGGTGAGGAATTCTGGGAGTTGACATCCACAACTTCTGGGAGTTGAAGTTCCTCAGCCTGGCTGAGGAATTCTGGAGTTGCAGTCTACAAATTCTGGGAGTTGAAGTTCCTCAGAGCCTGGCGAGGAATTCTGGGAGTTGAAGTCTACAACTTCTGGGAGTTGAAGTTCCTCAGCCTGGCGAGGAATTCTGGGAGTTGAAGTCCACAACTTCTGGGAGTTGAAGTTCCTCAGCCTGGCAAGGAATTCTGGGAGTTGACATCCACAACTTCTGGGAGTTGAAGTTCCTCAGCCTGGCGAGGAATTCTGGGAGTTGAAGTTCCTCAGCCTGGTGAGGAATTCTGGGAGTTGACATCCACAACTTCTGGGAGTTGAAGTTCCTCAGCCTGGCTGAGGAATTCTGGGAGTTGCAGTCTACAAATTCTGGGAGTTGAAGTTCCTCAGAGCCTGGCGAGGAATTCTGGGAGTTGAAGTCCACAACTTCTGGGAGTTGAAGTTCCTCAGCCTGGCAAGGAATTCTGGGAGTTGAAGTCCACAACTTCTGGGAGTTGAAGTTCCTCAGCCTGGCTGAGGAATTCTGGGAGTTGAAGTTCCTCAGCCTGGCGAGGAATTCTGGGAGTTGAAGTCCACAACTTCTGGGAGTTGAAGTTCCTCAGCCTGGCGAGGAATTCTGGGAGTTGAAGTCCACAACTTCTGGGAGTTGAAGTTCCTCAGCCTGGCGAGGAATTCTGGGAGTTGAAGTCCACAACTTCTGGGAGTTGAAGTTCCTCAGCCTGGTGAGGAATTCTGGGAGTTGACATCCACAACTTCTGGGAGTTGAAGTTCCTCAGCCTGGCTGAGGAATTCTGGGAGTTGAAGTCCACAACTTCTGGGAGTTGAAGTTCCTCAGCCTGGCTGAGGAATTCTGGGAGTTGAAGTTCCTCAACCTGGCTGAGGAATTCTGGGAGTTGAAGTTCCTCAGCCTGGCGAGGAATTCTGGGAGTTGAAGTCCACAACTTCTGGGAGTTGAAGTTCCTCAGCCTGGCTGAGGAATTCTGGGAGTTGAAGTCCACAACTTCTGGGAGTTGAAGTTCCTCAGCCTGGCTGAGGAATTCTGGGAGTTGCAGTCCACAACTCGTAAAGTACACCAAGGTTGGAGACCCTGTGACTAGAGGAAGTATCTATGGGGAGATTCAGCTGGATGGTCAGATCTCTGCTTTGCATGCCCAGTTCCCGGGTTCAGTACCCAACAACTCGTGCCCCAAACCAGAATCATCCTGGTTCACAGAACTTACTACGGGTCATCCTCGCCTTAGGACGACAAAAGAGCCGAAATTTCAGTTGCTAAGCAAGATAGTTTTTAAGTGAGTTTTGCCCAGTTTTACGACCTTTCTCACCACCGTTGTTAAGCGAATCACTGGAGTTCTTAAATTACTAACAAGATTATTAAGCGAATATGATTTCCCCATTGATATTGTCAGAAGGTCGCAAAAGGGGATCACGTGACACCCCCCCCCAGGGCACTGCGACCGTCATAAATAGGAGCCGAATTTTGAACACGTGACCACGGGGAGGCTGCAACGGTCATAAGTGTAAAAAACGGTCATAAGTCACTTTTTTCAGTGCTGTTGTAACTTAGAATGGCCTGAACTGTTGTAAATCGAGGACTACCGGTAGTGTAGTATCAGTAGAAGAGAATATAGCCCAGGGTTCAACTCTGGGGTCCTTGGAGCTAAATAAATAACAGAATGACAGAGTAGGAATAGTAAGCTGCCAGAGGTTGGTGGTTTACTTGCAGATGTTTCATTACCTGCCTAGATAACATTATCAGTGCTGCAAGGAAGGAGGGTTTATTCACCTATCAGTGTGGGAGTGTAATTTCTTCTTGGTGGTTCCTTGAGTTGCTTGATTGTTTGTCTGATTGCTTACTCAAACAATTCTTTTTCTTCTCCTCCTCCTCTTCTTTTTTTATCTTTCTTCTTTTCTCCTTCTCCTTCTCTTTCTCCTTTCTTTCTCCCCTTTCTCTTTCTCTTTCTCCTTCTCCTTCTTCTCTTTTCCTTTCTCCTCCTCTTTCCTCTTCCTCCTCCTCTTTTTAATCTTTATTTTCTTTTGTCTCCTTTCTCCTTTCTTTCTTCTCTTTCTCTTTCTCCTCCTCCTTTTTTTAATCTTTCTCTCTCTTCCTCTTCCTCTTCCTCTTCTCCTTCTCCTTCTCCTTCTTCTCCTTCTCCTTCTCCTCTTTTCCTTTCTCCTCCTCTTTTTAATCTTTATTTTCTTTTGTCTTCTTTCTCCTTTCTTTCTCCTCTTTCTCTTTCTCCTCCTCCTTTTTTTAATCTTTCTCCTCTTCTCCTTCTCCTCCTTCTCCTTCTCCTTCTCCTTCTTCTCTTTTCCTTTCTCCTCCTCTTTTTAATCTTTATTTTCTTTTGTCTTCTTTCGCCTTTCTCCTCTTTCTCTTCCTGTTTCTCCTTCTTCTTCTCTTTCTACTCCTTCTCTTTTCCTCCTCTTCCTCCTCTGTTTTTTTCTTTCATCTCCTCCTCCTCTTCCTTCTCCTCTTCCTCCTCCCCCTCCTCTTCCTCCTGCACCTCCTCCAATGTTTCTTCACCTCCTCATGCTCAATTCCACCTCCATCCCCCAAGAAATCAACCCCCCCCCTTTTAAAGGCTGGCTTGCCAATTCCTCTGGGTGGGGCCCTTCAAACCTAAAAATGTGCAGAAGTGCCCAGGAGCGTTTTCCCTGCTGCACGACCTTCCTTCCACTTACTATTCGTTTATTAGATTCTCTGCCTATCCTCTTTCCACCCAGGAGCTCAAAGCAGCGTCAAAAGCCCTCCCTCCTGGCATTCCCCCCCTCCCGCCTTCATGCAGCCACCTGAGCTAAGAGAGGGTCCCAAGGTCAGCCAGTGAGTCTCCAGGGATGAGCATGGACCTATTAAGCTATATCATCCCCACCCTAAGTCCCCACGGCCTCTTCCACCCATTGAGATGTGTGACTTCCTTCTTCTTCAGGGGCTGGAGGTAGCACCCATAGCCATCTCGTGCCCCATTCCTGGCCCAGCCCATTCGTCCTCATGGCCCCTACTGAGCTGGGCGGGGGGGGTGAGAGAACGCCAGGTGTGCACATCCAGTTTCTACATGGATGGAGAGGGGGGATTCCTCAACTGGAAGGGCCAATGGCAATGGATGAAGGGGTGGATGTGCTCAGCCGAGCAAGTGGCGATCCTGAGCACCCAACCTGGGAACTTCAGCGTGCAAAGCAGAGGCTCAGACCGGAAGGAAAGGAATGAGGGTGGGAGGGAGGGAGAGAGGGAGGAAGGGAGGAAGGAAGGAGAGCAAGGGGAGGGAGGGAGGAGGGAAAGGGAAGGAAGGAAGGAAGGAAGGAAGGAAGGAAGGAAGGAAGGAAGGAAGGAAGGAAGGAAGGAAGGAAGGAAGGAAGGAGCAAGGGGTGGGGAGGAGGGAAAGTGGAGGAAGGGAGGGAGGGAGGGAGAAGGAAGGAAAGTGGAGGGAAGAAGGGAAGGAGGGAAGGAAGGAAAGTGGAGGGAGGGAGGAAGGAGGTAAAGGAAGGCAGGAAGGAAGGAGCAAGGGGTGGGGAGAAGGGAAAGTGGAGGAAGAAAGGGAGGGAAAGAAGGAAGGAAGGAAGGAAAGTGGAGGGTGGGAAGGAAGGAAGGAAGAAAAGCAAAGGGAGGGAGGAAGGAGGGAAAGAGAAGGAAGGAGGGAAAGTGGAGGGAGGGAGGGAGGAAGGAAGGAAGGAAAACAAGGGGAGGAAGGAGGGAAAGAGAAGGAAGGCAGGAAGGAAGGAAGGAGGGAAAGTGGAGGAAGGAAGGAGAGAGGGATAGAAAGAAGGAAGGGAGGGAAAGAAGGAAGGAAGGAAGGAAGGAAGGAAGGAAGGAAGAAGAAGAAGGAGAGAGGAGGGAGGAATATTCACTCCTAACAGCCAGCCAGCTTTTTCTTTTCAGGGGGAGTCCAAGCATGTTTTTTTGGTCTCAACAGCTGATCTGTCCTATCCGTCTCTTGCTATAGGATTTGCTTGTTATTTGTACTGTACCTATGTATGCGTCAAAACCGGTTAATTCGATTCTAGATGAACTCTTAGAACACACAGACACACACAGAGTTGTCCTATAACACAGGGGGTGTGGGGTGTGGTCCCCAACCTTTCAGGCACCAGGGACCAATTTCGGAGGGAGGGGAAAAGGCTTCGGACACAATCCAGATCCCACCCATGATGATGCAGATGAAGCTTCGCTCGCTCTCCCGCCGCCGCTTCGTCCAGGTAGTCCTCGACCTACGACCGCAATTGAGCCCAACATTTCTGTTGCTAAGCGAGATAGTTGTTCAGTGAGATTTGCCCCCGTTTTATGACTTTTCTCGCCAACCGCTGTTAAGTGAATCCCTGTGGTTGTTAAGTGAGTCACACGGTCGTTAAGTGAATCTGTCTTCCCTCCCCACTGATTTGGCTTGTCAGAAGGGGATCATGTGACCCTGGGACACTGCATCTGAGTTTTGATCATGTGACCACGGGGGATGCTGCAACGGTCGTAAGTGTGAAAAAACGGCCCTCAGTCCCTTTTTTCAGCGCCGTTGTAACTTCAAACGGTCACTGAATGAAGCGTTGTAAGTGGAGGACTACCTGTACTGGCTGGGGGGGGGCTTCTCGGGGAACCCCTGCTATAACGAGAAGGAAGGAAGGCGTTCCGAAGCATGGAGTGGGAATTGGGAAACCTTGCTACCCGTTACGTCGCAAAATCCCTTCGGTGAAACGGTATAGAATAAACGAAGTCGCTTGTACTAACTTTTCTTTGTTTGTTAATAAAAGGGCACAAAATCAATAAAGTACAGTGAACACTGAGCTATGAAGCCTCAAGAATTAGGAAAAATTCCTTAATTTCACCTGCGATGGCGAACCTACGGCACACGTGCCACAGGTGGCACGCAGACCCCTCCCTGTGGGCACGCGTGCTGTCGCCAGCTTCTCTTCTGGTTTCGCGGGTGCCAGAGCGCCAGAAAACAGCCTGAAAAGGCCCCCCCAAAACGCCCAAAAAAGAGGGTGTTTTTGGGCCGCTTTTCAGGCTGGTTTTGGGTCATTTTTCTTCGCGGGTGCCAGAGTGGCCAGCTGGTGTTTGCGGGCACCAGAATGCCAGAAAACGGCCTGAAAACGGCCAAAAAATAAGGCTTTTTTGGGCCGTTTTTGGGTTGTTTTTCTTCGCGGGTGCCAGAGTGGATAACTTGTCTTTGCAGGCACCGAGCACCCACACGAAAAACGGCCTGAAAACTACCCCCAAAACAGCCCCCAAAACAGCCTGATAACGGCCAAAACCAGCCAAAAAACACACATGTGCGCGCCGGCCAACTGGTTTTCGGGTTTTCAGTGCTCCGGCACGTGTACATGCGCACATGCACATGCGTTCCAGTTTGGGCGCTCGGTGCCGAAAAGGTTTGCCATAATGGACTTAGACGTCCGCCATCAACAGGCATCTGAAGATAAATGACATCTACACACCACTCAAAAGAGAAGATCAGAACTCCAAAAAACGAAAGAGAGCGACCAGAAGATTTCTTCGCCAACAAATCGACACCCAGATATTAATCCCAAGATTAAGGCTAGACCAACAATCAAGAAGGTACACAACTACCAACTCAGACAAACCATAAACAGTCGCCGAATCAAGGAACTCTCACCAACACTGAGAGCCACTGTACATAAACAGGGAGCAGCTCCTACCCCCTTCTAGCACTGATGATGTTACCTATTTGGGTGATGAAATGTCTGCAAGAAAACCACCAACCTCAGAAAGCACCAAGGACCCCACAGTCCTCTTCCTCTTCTTCCTCCCTCCTCCACTCCATAAACCTGCCTCCCTCTTAGCACTGATATTGTTACCTAGTTCGATAATGAAACGTCTGCAAGAAAACAACTAAGGACCCTTCATTCTTTCTTCCTCCTCCTCCTCCTCCCTTCTAGCCCTGATGATGTTACCTAGTTGGGTCATGAAATGTCTGCAAGAAAGCCACCAAGGTTTTCAGAGGATGCCAGTCTTCCTCCTCCTCCTCCTCCTCCTCCTCCCTCTCTCCACAAACCCCACTCCCTTCTAGCCCTGATGAAGTTACCTAGTCAGATAAAAAAGGTCTGCCGGAAAAGCACCAAGCTCAGAGAGCACCAAGGACTCCAGGGTTAACGTTCCCTCGTTAACGAGATCCCTAATTACGTGGTTCCATCGTCCAGAACAACCGAAGAGAAAACCATACCCCCAGTAAGACTGACACGCCAAACGAAACCTCCTTGCTTTCTCGAACTCAGCACGTTACCTCGTCTCCATAGCAAACCGTTGGCTCATTTAATCACCATGATGTTCACTTTATGACCGTCTGTAAAATGTGGCTTGGCCACATGGGTTGACAACAGAATTATAGCCATCACAATTTACGACCGTGATGGGCAGATTCCTTTATGGTCGTAACTCAGGGACTAGCCGTATTTCTGAGAATCAAGAGTTGTGAGGCTGGGTAGGCCGGTATATAAATACGTACAGATAGTCCTTGACTTACAACTGTTCATTTAGTGACCGTTAGGAGTTACAACAGCACTGAGAAAAATTGACTCACGGCCCTTTTTCACACATACGACCGTTGCAGCATCCCGGGGGTCAGGTGATCAAAATTCAGTTGCTTGGCAACTGACTCATAGATATGACGGTTGCAGCGTCCAGGGGTCCCGTGATCCCCTTCTGCGACCGTCGGAGAAGCCAAGTCAACGGGGGAAGCCCGATTCACTTAGAAGCCATGGGACTAACTTAAAAATTGCTATGATTCACTTAACAACAATGGCCAGGAAGGTCGTAAAATGGGGCACAACTCACCGAACCTTTTTTTTTCCCCTTTAGCAACATAAGTTCTGGGATCAGCTGTGGTAATCATTTATGTAATCACATAATATAAGTCACTAGACAAGTGATGGCTAACCTTTTTGCCATCGCGTGCCAAAAATGGGTGGAGCGCGGGGGGAGTCACGCACGCGCGTGCCCACACCCATGATTCTATATACCCCACCCCCAAGCATGCCACACGATCCCCCTGTGTTCCTCCCGCTTTTGGCACGCGATGGTATGGTGGGCCCGGTAGGCCTGTTTTTTGCTCTCCCCAGGCTCCAGAGCCTCTCTAGGAGCCTGGGAGGGCAAAAATGGCCTTCCCCACCACCACCACCCGGTAGCGTTCCGAGGCCAGAAACGGCTCATTTGCCGACTTCCGGTCTCCTCCGGAGGCAGGAAACAGCTTGTTTCCCTACTTCCAGGTGGTCCAGAAGGCCCGAAAATCAGCTGGCCGGCACGCACATGTGTGCCGCAGCTGAGCTCGTGTGCCCACCGATATGGCTCCGTGTGCCACCTGTGCCATACGTTCGCCATCACGGCACTAGACCATATTGATTAACCGCTGGTCCCTGGGCATGGCGGACACCTGGATGTTCTGGCTTGGAACAATTCCGTGTCAACAAAACCTGCACCATTGGAATAGATGCCAAGAGTTTGCGGGTCCGCCCTTAAGAAATTGTGTTTCCGTTTGCAGATCCAAAGTGCCTTGCAATCCTTCCTGGAGGTTGTCAGCAAAATGCCTCAGTTCAAGGACGCAGGTAAAACATGCACCTACCTGTCCCAGTGTCAGGGTTCCAAGCAGGGGTGAAATCCAGCAGGTTCTGACAGGTTCTGACGAACCGGTAGCGGAAATTTTGAGTAGTTCGGAGAACTGGCAAATACCACCTCTGGCTGCCCCAGAGTGGGGTGGGAATGGGATTTTGCAGTATCCTTCCCCTGCCACACCCACCAAGCCACGCCCACTAAGCCACACCACACCACGCCCACCAAGCCACGCCCACAGAACCGGTAGTAAAAATAAGTCTCTTCTTAAAATCCTCCAGTGATGGAGCTCCCACAACTTCTGGAGGCAAGTCGTTCCACTGATTAATTGTTAAGAAATCCTCCTTAGTTTCCAGGTTGCTTCTCTCCTTGAATAGCTTCCATCCATTGTTCCTTATCTGGCCTTCAGGGGCTTTGGAGAATAGGTTGACCCCCTTCCTCCTCTCTGGGGCAGCCCCTCAGATATTGGAAGATGCTCTCCTGTCTCCCCTGGTCCTTCTCTTCACTAGACTAGCCATGTCTTCTGTCCATCTATGGTTCATTCAGATCTTTCTTTCTTTCTTTCTTTCTTTCTTTTCTTTCTTTCTTCTTTCTTTCTTTCTTTCTTTCTTTCTTTCTTTCTTTCTTTCTCTCCTCTCTTTCTCTCTCTTCTTTCTTTCCCTCCCTTCCACCTTCCTTCCCTCCCTCCCTCCCTCCTTCCTTCCTTCCTTCCTTTTGCTTTGGAGAATAGCTTGACCCCCTTCCTCCTCTCTGGGGCAGCCCCTCCAATATTGGAAGATGCTCTCCTGTCTCCCCTGGTCCTTCTCTTCCCTAGACCAGCCATGTCTTCTGTCCATCTATGATTCATTCAGATGTCTTTCTTTCTTTCTTTCTTTCTTTCTTTCTTTCTTTCTTTCTTTCTTTCTTTCTTTCTTTCTTTCTCCCTCTCTCTCTCTCTCTCTTTCTTTCCCTCCCTTCCACCTTCCTTCCCTCCCTCCCTCCCTCCTTCCTTCCTTCCTTCCTTTTGCTTTGGAGAATAGCTGGACCCCCTTCCTCCTCTCTGGGGAAGCCCCTCCAATATCGGAAGATGCTCTCCTGTCTCCCCTGGTCCTTCTCTTCACTAGACCAGCCATGTCTTCTGTCCATCTATGATTCATTCAGATGTCTTTCTTTCTTTCTTTTTTCTTTCTTTCTTTCTTTCTTTCTTTCTTTCTTTTTTCTCTTTCTTTCTTTCTTTCTTTCTCCCTCTCTCTCTCTCTCTCTTTCTTTCCCTCCTTCCACCTTCCTTCCCTCCCTCCCTCCCTCCTTCCTTCCTTCCTTCCTTTTGCTTTGGAGAATAGCTGGACCCCCTTCCTCCTCTCTGGGGCAGCCCCTCAAATATTGGAAGATGCTCTCCTGTCTCCCCTGGTCCTTCTCTTCACTGGACTAGCCATGTCTTCTGTCCATCTATGATTCATTCAGATGTCTTTCTTTCTTTCTTTCTTTTCTTTCTTTCTTTCTTTCTTTCTTTTCTTTTTTCTTTCTTTCTTTCTTTCCCTCCCTTCCACCTTCCCTCCCTCCCTCCCTCCTTCCTTCCTTCCTTCCTTCCTTCCTTTTGCTTTGGAGAATAGCTTGACCCCCTTCCTCCTCTCTGGGGCAGCCCCTCAAATACTGGAAGATGCTCTCCTGTCTCCCCTGGTCCTTCTCTTCACTAGACCAGCCAGGCCCAGTTCCTGCAACCGTTCATCGTAGGTTTTAGCCTCCAGTCCCCTCATCATCCTGGTTGCTCTTCTCTGCACTCTTTCTAGAGTCTCAACATCTTTTTTACAGAATGACAGAGTTGGAAGGGACCTTGTAGGTCATCTAGTCCAACCCCCCACCCAAGCAAGAGACCCTACACCATTTCTGACCGATGGCAGTCCAGTCTCTTCTTGAAAACCTCCAGTGATGAAGCTCCCACAACTTCCGAAGGCAACTTCTGTTCCATGGGTTGATTCTTCTCACTGTCAGAAAAATTCCTCCTTATTTCCAGGTGGAATCTCTCCTTGGTCAGTTTCCATCCATTGTTCCTTGTCTGGCCTTCAGGGGCCTTGGAGAATAGCCTGACCCCCTTCCTCCTCTCTGGGGCAGCCCCTCCAATATTGGAAGATGCTCTCCCTGTCTCCCCTGGTCCTTCTCTTCACTAGACTAGCCATGTCTTCTGTCCATCTATGGTTCATTCAGATGTCTTTCTTTCTTTCTTTCTTTCTTTCTTTTCTTTCTTTCTTTCTTTCTTTCTTTCTTTCTTTCTTTCTTTTCTTTCTTTTTCTTTCTTTCTTTCCTTCTTTCTCTCTCTCTCTCTCTCTTTCCCTCCCTTCCACCTTCCTTCCCTCCCTCCCTCCCTCCCTCCCTCCTTCCTTTTGCTTTGGAAAACAGCTTGACCCCCTTCCTCCTCTCTGTGGCAGCCCCTCAAATATTGATATCCTGTCTCCCCTGGTCCTTCTCTTCCCTAGACCAGCCATGTCTTCTGTCCATCTATGGTTCATTCAGATGTCTTTCTTTTTCTTTCTTTCTTTCTTTCTTTCTTTCTTTCTTTCTTCTTTTTCTTTCTTTCCTTCTTTCTCTCTCTCTCTCTCTCTTTCCCTCCCTTCCACCTTCCTTCCCTCCCTCCCTCCCTCCCTCCCTCCTTCCTTTTGCTTTGGAAAACAGCTTGACCCCCTTCCTCCTCTCTGTGGCAGCCCCTCAAATATTGGAAGATGCTCTCCTGTCTCCCCTGGTCCTTCTCTTCACTAGACCAGCCAGGCCAGTTCCTTCCGGCAACTGTTCATCCTATGTTTTAGCCTCTGGGCCTTTGATCCTCTTAGTTGCTCTTCTCTGCACTCTTTCCAGAGTCTCCACATCCTGGATGCTCCATCACTGGAGGCTTTCAAAAATAGGACTAGGATGGTATCAAGCCTCCTGCTCAAGTTAGGGTTTGTTTTTTTTTAAAATTTGATTTATATGCCGCCCTTCTCCGGAGACTCACTGTAAGACTAACGCTTACAGTGCGTTAAGCAATAGCCTTCATCCTTTTGTATATTTTATACAAAGTCAGCTTATTGCCCCCCACAAACTGGGTCCTCATTTAACCTACCTTAGAAAGGATGGAAGGCTGAGTCAACCTTGAGCCTGGCGAGATTCGAACTTACAGTAATTGCAGACAGCTTGATGTTAATAACAGTGCTATCAGTCTGCTGAGCTATCCAGGCTGGACTAGAAGACCTCTGAGGTCCCTTCCATCCAGCCCTAGGAATCTATCTTGTCTGCTCCCAATTCCTGTGTTCTTAATCTCCGACTACCGTCTCCCCACCTCCCTCCATCCCCTGATCGTCCTCCCTCTGGGGGCTTCCAGCTGTGTGGGATCAGCTCCCACCCACCCACCCTGGGCTAGGATTAGGAGGCCGTGTTGACCCAAATGCCAAAGACGTCATCCGTCCTTGTGCCATCATGCCTCTGCCGCCCATCTTGAAAAGATGAACAGGAGACAAACGAAGTTCCTGCTTCGTCCTGCCACGTTGGGAATCTGCCCGTCCGGGAATAGTAGGCAAAATGGAGCTCTTACTCCATGTTGTATCCCGGGCTTTGGACTCCTATTCTGGTCTCCAAAGGGTCATCGGCTCGTCTTCCTTGGCCAGGAGCCAACACCTAGATAAGCCCCAAGGTTAAAACTAGACCAAACCCTCGGGCAGGGAACGATACGCCAATCAAGGAACTACCAGCTCAGCCAATCAATCAAAGGATAAACCACAGCCGAATTAAGGAGCCACCAAAAATACTACTGCCTACACTGACAGGGCAAGCCACTGGTACATACACAAAGAGCAAACCCCACACCCCCTTCCACCACTGATGATGTTACCTAGTTGGGTCATGAAACATCTGCAAGAAAAGCACCAGGCTAAGAGAGCAGCAACGACCCCACAGTTCAACCCTGAGCTAAAAATATTCTCCTTTATTGGTATCTATTTATCTATCTATCTATCTACCTACCTACCTACCTATCTTCTGTCTGCCTATTTGTTGGTCTTTCTTTCTTTCTTTCCTTCATTCCATCTTCCTTCCTTCCTTCCTTCCTTCCTTTCTTTCTTTCTTTCCTTCCTTCGATCTTCCTTCCTTCCTTTCCTTCCTTCCTTCCATCCTCCTTCCTTCCTTCCTTCCTTTCCTTCCTTCCATCTTCCTTCCTTCCTTTCTTTCCTTCCTTCCATCCTCCTTCCTTCCTTCCTTCCTTTCTTTCCTTCCATCTTCCTTCCTTCCTTTCTTTCCTTCCTTCCATCTTCCTTCCTTCCTTCCTTTCTTTTCCTTTCTTCCATCTTCCTTCCTTCCTTCCTTTCCTTCCTTCCATCCTTCCTTCCTTCCGTCTTCCTTCCGTCTTTCTTTCCTTCCTTCCATCTTCCTTCCTTCCTTCCTTCCTTCCTAACTTTAAACACTAGAGCAACAAGCAGCAAGCAGCAAACAATGCCCCAATCAAGGCACCCCCAACTCAGACCAACAATCAAATAGCCCTTAGGGATCCTTTTGCCTTAAGCGTGCCCTGTGGGGTCCCCACTCACCTCTCTCCCCCCATTAGCAGAGGTGGGTCTCAGCAGGTTCTGACCAGTTCTGGAGAACCGATAGCGGAAATTATGAGTAGTTCGGAGAACCCGTAGTAAAAATTCTGACTGGCCCCCCCCACATCTATTCTCTGCCTCTCGAGTCCCAGCTGATTGTGAGGAAACGGGGATTTTGCAGTAACCTTCCTCTGCAGTGGGGAGGGAATGGGGATTTTACAGTATCCTTCCCCTGGAATGGGGAGGGAATGGGGATTTTACAGTATCCTTCCCCCAGGAGAGGGGAGGGAATGGGGATTTTACAGTATCCTTCCCCTGGAGTGTGGAGGAATGGGGATTTTACAGTATCCTTCCCCTGGAGTGGGGAGGGAATGGAGATTTTACAGTATCCTTCCCCCAGGAGTGGGGAGGGAAAGGGGATTTTACAGTATCCTTCCCCCAGGAGAGGGGAGGGAATGGAGATTTTACAGTATCCTTCCCCTGCCACGCCCACCAAGCCACATCCACCAAGCCATGCCACGCCCACCAACCACACCCACAGAACCGGTAGTAAAAAAAATTGAAACCCACCCCTGCCCATTAGGGTCCTCAGAACCCCCTCCCGGCCAAGGCTTTCACTGCCCCTCCCGGACACCAAGTTCTTTCTCCTCCGGGCAGACATCTACGCCAGGCCGCTGGAAGCCGTGGCACCACTGGACTTGAAGGTGAACGAAGAGGAATTCACAGAGGTGAGGAGGAGGAGGAGTAACTTTCCCCCGACCCCCCACAACCCGAGGGATGGTGGGCTTGCTGGGACCCCCTCCCCTCTGCAAAGAATCAGGAGGATGCAGGAATGGGAAATGCCTAAAACATCCCTTTACAGAGTTCCTTGCAGGATCATCTATGGCAGGGGGGGTCAAACTCCATTTCATTGAGGGCCGCAACAGGGTTATGTTTGACCTGGGGGGGGGGCAACATGATGTCATTCGTGTTGAGGGGGGGAGCTGTGATTGCCCAAGAACTCTGCCAGTGAAAATGGAGCTCGGAAGGGCTGCGGGCGGCCTTCGCAAAGCTCCGTTTTCACTGGCAGGGGCACCGCAAGTAGGTCCTTCGCTATTTTCCTCCCTCCCTCCCTCCTCCCTCCTTCCTTCCTTCCTTCCTTCCTCCCTCCTTCCTTCCTTCCTTCCTTCCTTCCTCCTTCCTTCCTCCCTCCCTCCCTGCTTCCTTCCTTCCTTCCTTTCTCCCTCCCCCTCCTTCCTTCCTTCCTTCCTCCCTCCCTCCCTCCCTCCCTCCCTCCTTCCTTCCTTTCTTCCTTCCTCCCTCCCTCCTTCCCTCTCTCCTTCCTCCCGCCTTCCCTCCCTCCTTCCTTCCTTCCTTCCTTCCCTCCTTCCTTCCTTCCTTCCTCCTCTCCTCTCCTGGCAAATCCTGGCACAAAAGGTTGTACAGTAGTGGGGGCGGGGCGACTCATTGACCACCTGCCTCATATAGCGGCAGAAATTCAGTTCCCCTTTGCGGTCGTAAGTCGAGGATTCCCTTCACGTGGCATCCTGAATCCCTTGGGAGAATATGAATCTAGCAGTAGTAACGGAAAGCCGGGACAAAGTGAATTAACAGAGGAGCAAAATGTAATATGTATTTTCCTCCATTTTTCCTCTTTCCCCAGTATCTCCTTTCTTACGTCAAAAATTTCACCAGTGACCTGTTCCAGGAGCTGCTGAAGCATTTGCTCCAATGTTCTCACGATGCCCGGAACGCCATCCGGCATGACATCTGGAGGCAGATGTTTGTCCAGCTGTTCTTCGATTGTGAATACGGGCAGGTAGGGCCAACAAGCCTTTCTTCTCCTTTGGCACAAGCAAGGATCTCGCCCCCATCTCCTGCTTGAGCAGGGGGCTGGACTAGAAGACCTCCAAGGTGCCCTCCAGAATCTCTTCTGATTCTGCTAAGTCAATATTCTCCAAGCAGGCCCTTGCCAGGTGTTGCCCAAAGCCCTTTCATTACATCATCACCCAGCAAGAGTCAACCAAGCCTGGGACACAGACAACCTACAAAGTTACCCCTGCATGGCCCCATGGGAGTCTGACAACCAATCAGAATACAAGCTCAAATTCAAAGCCCAACAGAGGGTATAAATCTATCTATCTCTGTCACCCATGTGCCTTTTTTTGCCCAGGACCCCAAAACCACGTGGTCTGTCCATCATTAAACCATCTTTTCAAACAGTCTCCATGTTTCCAGGGTCTTTCTCCCCGCTTGGAACTGAACCCAGATGGACATTTCTTCCCACACATTCATGGACAATTTTCACACTTCCTGGGTTGCAACTTACCTCCCTCTCCTGTGCCCAGTTTTGCTCCGCGTCTTCCGGGACGCTCTGGCCTGAGGGAGCTGCTCCTCCAAGCAGAGGGCAAACAGCTTTGGCGGGCAGCTGCAGCCCCACTTAAGCCGGCTGCTGTGCTCCTCGCTCCTGTGGCCTCCAGGGCCCCGTCGCCGGATCTCAGACAGACAAGACTTCTTCTGCCTGGAGGGCTCCCGGTTTCAAATCTGCCTGTGAGATCCGTGGAGAGCCGCCTTGGTTTTGGGGGGCCCTGGGCCAGGGGCAGCCTCAGGAGAAGACTGCTTCCTGCCAGGTTTCCCAAAGGCCAACCGAGGCTACGGGTCTCCCTCCTGCCTGGGAGTGAGTCTCATTAGCCGGAGTCGGACTCTGCTGTGGCTCAATGCTGCTAGCTAAACCTTTGGGGGGATCCCCGTAAAGGCCTCCTTCCAGTGAGGGGCCCAGGAGACCAGCTTGGGGTCCGCGAAGAATGGGGGCTGCCTTCAGGGCCACTTCTCTGACTGGGAGCATAGCAGCTGCCCCTCCTGAGCCTCGGACCCTCCCTCTTCGGCCTTCTGCTTTCAAAGAGGATGACTGTCAGCGTCCCAGCACTGACATATATAAGGAGAGAAAGCTCGAACTTTTGCCTACTTAATTCCTTTGAAGATTCTGTCTCCTCGGAGATGGGAGGAGGGGGGGACATTCCTGTGACCTGACGGAGAAGGGATGAGGAAAGTGGCTTGGAAGATAGCCAATGAGACGCAGAGAATTGGGGATCGGAAAGGGAGGGATTGGGGGGGGGCAAAGGTCAGTACTGACCGCGAAAGAGCCAGGGACAGATCCCTATGCTCAATAAAGAGAACATTTCCTTAAAGATCGGCAGTTTGGAAATTCCTTTATTTTGAGATAGCATCGAAACCTGACAATGACGGTGTTGGCCTGAGATAGAAGGGCAGGTAGGCCACGGCTTCCATGGGGCTTTTGCTCTCCATCGGTTTTTGATCCACCAGTGGTGGCACATTTCCAAACGACCCCTTGGCGGCATCTTCAAATGTCTGAAAAAGGCAAGGGGGGGTGGGCTTTGGCATAGCACTGTTGGGGTTGAGTGCCAGGACCGGCAGTTTCACTGTAGCAAACGTGTCGGGAGACGTCTCCTGGGAGAAGGGCTTGGGGGTCCAAGATGGCCTGGATGCGGTGGAGGGACCCACAGGTTTCACTAGCATGTTCCTGCCCTCCGGATAAGCTGCGCCAGAGCACTGGGGCTTCCGGCTGGCGTCAGACGGGAGCTGTTAAAGGAGCACCTGGGTTTCCTAGGATCTCCCACCATGGTTTGATGTACCGGAGTTGCAACGAACTCATGAAAAGTTGACTTACTCTTGATGATGGTTCTTCTCTTTTTCTTCTAGATGGGACTCTTGGACAGGCTGAAGGTTTTGTCCATCCTGCAGAAGTTCTACCAATGCAGTTCGGACCTCGCCAAGGAGATTTATTGCAACCCAAAAAAATGTAAGCAGGTTGGCCAAGCCAAGGTGGCATACCATTAACAGATTTAACAGAGTTGGAAGGGACCTTGGAGGTCATCTAGTCCAACCCCTGCCCAACCCTACAACCCTTTCTGACAGAGGACAGTCCAGTCTCTTCTTGAAAGTGTCCAGGGATGAAGCTCCACAACTTCTGAAGGCAACTTCTGTTCCATGGATTGTTCTCCCTGTCAGAAAATTCCTCCTTATTTCCAAGTTGAATCTCTCCTGGTCAGTTTCCATCCATTGTTCCTTGTCTGGCCTTCGGGTGCCTTGGAGAATAGCTTGACCCCCTTCCTCATCTCTGGGGCAGCCCCTCAAAATTGGAAGATGCTCTCCTGTCTCCCCTGGTCCTTCTCTTCACTAGGCCAGCCAGGCCCAGTTCCTGCAACCGTTCATCGTATATTTTAGAGCCTCCAGTCCCCTCATCATCCTGGTTGCTCTTCTCTGCACTCTTTCCAGAGTCTCAACCCCTTTTGCTATAGTGTGGTGACCAAAACTGGATGCAGGACTCTAGGTGTGGCCTTACTAAGGCTTTGTAAAGTGGTATTAGTACCTCCCTTGATCTTGATTGTATCCCTCTGTTCATGCATTTTAGGATTGCATGGGCTTTTTTTGGCTGCCCGCCACACACTGCTGGCTCATATTTAGCTGGTTGTCCACTAAGACTCCAAAATTCTCTCTCACACTTACTGCTATTAAGCCTGGTTTCACCCAGTCTACATGTAACCTTCAGAACTTTTGTCTCTGTCGATCACTTTTTTTATTTTTTATTTTTTGTTGATTTGATTTATATGCCGCCCTTCTCTGGAGAGTCAGGGCGGCTTACAGTGAGTTAAGCAATAGCCTTCATACTTTTGTATATTTTATACAAAGTCAGCTTATTGCCCCCACAAACTGGGTCCTCATTTCACCTACCTTAGAAAGGATGGAAGGCTGAGTCAACCTTGAGCCTGGCGAGATTCGAACCTGCAGTAATTGCAGGCAGCTGGTCTTAATAACCAGCTTAATAACAGGGTGCCTTAGACCACTGTACTACCAAGGCTCTGAAGCCAACGTCCCCTGTGCTTCCTCTTTTTTAGGCCAATAGTTGAACTGGATGACATAGACCTCACGGAGTTTTTGGGGTGACCTGGAACCTGACGATGAAGAGGAACCCCCAGAGGACGTACCCAGCCCTGAGCGTACATTATCTGAGGAAGCCACCTTCCTCGTCACGGTCCTGAAAGACATCCTTTCGGATGAGAAAATAGCCCTCGGCACCAATGGAGAACCAGTGGTCAACGAGGTAGAAGAAGCTGGGTTGGAGAAGCAGGTCAGCCTAACAGAAGCTGGGACTCAAGACGTTCTTACAACGGCCACCCAAGACCAAGCAGAAGAACCTCAAGCGGAAATGCCAGCGGCTGAGCTGGAACCCCAAGGAGCAGAGGCTCCAGAGGAGGCCCTTCCAGAAGCCATCACGGAACCCACCTCTGAAGAAGTGGAGAGACCTGCTGGGAAGAAGCTGCTCCAGAAGACCATCGGGACACACACCCTTCAGGCCATTTTGGAAGGAGAAGAAGCAGCTGAGGAAATCAGGCCACAAGTGGATGTCCTGGCTTCGCCCTCCCAGGTTGCAGTCCGGGTGCAGGAGATCTTGGATGACAAGGAAACCCCAAAATCTCCCTTGGTGGAGAAGGACCTTGCTACAAAGGGAACGGAGGCAGAAGAGGCAGGTGGGCAGGAAAAGCCGGAAGAAATAACAGAACCTGGAACGGAGGCAGAAGAGGCAGGTGGGCAGGAAAAGCCGGAAGAGAAAGCAGAACCTGGAACGGAGGCAGGAGAGGCAGGTGGACAGGAAAAGCCAAAAGAGAAAGCAGAGCCAGATGTCCAAAGACCATCTGGCCCGAAGGACCAGCTGCTGAAGGAAGAGATAAGCCACCAGGAACCGTAGTTACAAGTATGGCATGGGTTTTTTTTCTCTCCACACCATGGTTGGCTTTGTTAATGAACAGGATAACAGAGTTGGAAGGGATCTTGGAGGTCTTCTGCTCCAATCCCCCTGCTCAAGGAGGAGAGACCCTCTACCATTTCAGAAGGTTATCCAATCTCTTCTTAAAAGCCTCCAGTGTTGAAGCACCTACAACTTCTGAAGGCAAGCCAGTCCATTGATTAACAGAATAACAGAGTTGGAAGGGACCTTGGAGGTCTTCTTGGAGGCATTCTGGACAAATGATTGTCCAGTGTCTTCTTGAAAACTTCCAGTGATGGAGCAGAACTTCTCATGGCAAATCGTTCCATTGTTCTTAACCATGAGGAGATTTCTCCTCAATTCTAGGTTGCTTCTCTCCTTGGTTAAGTTACCTTCCGTTGCTTCTTGTCCTGCCTTGCTTAGCAGAATTCACCTTTTGTAAGTTAGCTGCGGGGACCTCCCCTAACTTGGGTGCAACAATGATGGCCAATCTAAGAGACTAGGATGAAGAGAGAACAATTAATCCATGGGACAGCTTGCTTCCCGGAACTGTGGCTGCTCCGTCACTTGAAGTCTTCAAGAATGGACAGCCATTTGCCCAGGATGCAATAGGTTCTCCTGCCTTGGGCAGGAGCTTGGATTTAGAAGACCTCCAAGGTCCCCTCCAGCCCAATGATGATTTCTAGCAGAGTAGCTTTCTCTGTCCAACTTTGTGACCTTCTAGTAGTTGGTCACCACACTATAGCAAAAGGGGTTGAGACTCTGGAAAGAGTGCAGAGAAGAGCAACCAGGATGATGAGGGGACTGGAGGCTCTAAAATATACGATGAACGGTTGCAGGAACTGGGCCTGGCTGGTCTAGTGAAGAGAAGGACCAGGGGAGACAGGAGAGCATCTTCCAATATTGGAGGGGCTGCCCCAGAGAGGAGGAAGGGGGTCAAGCTATTCTCCAAAGCACCTGAAGGCCGGACAAGGAATCATGGATGGAAACTGATCAAGGAGAGATTCAACCTAGAAATAAAGAGGAATTTTCTGACAGTGAGAAACAATCAACCCATGGAACAGAAGTTGCCTTCAGAAGTTGTGGGAGCTTCATCGCTGGAGGTTTTCAAGAAGAGACTGGACTGCCATCGGTCAGAAATGGTGTAGGGTCTCTTGCTTGAGTGAGGGGGTTGGACTAAATGACCTCCAAGGTCCCTTCCAACTCTGTCATTCTGTAAAAAAGATGTTGAGACTCTAGAAAAAGTGCAGAGAAGAGTAACCAGGATGATGAGGGGACTGGAGGCTAAAACATAGGATGAACGGTTGCAGGAACTGGGCCTGGCTGGTCTAGTGAAGAGAAGGACCAGGGGAGACAGGAGAGCATCTTCCGATATTTGAGGGGCTGCCCCAGAGAGGAGGAAGGGGGTCTATTAAGCTATTTTTCCAAAGCGCCCGAAGGCCAGACAAGGAATCATGGATGGAAACTGACCAAGGAGAGATTCCACCTGGAAATAAGGAGGAATTTCCTGACAGCCATACCACGCCCACCAAGCCACACCCACAGAACTGGTAGTAAAAAAAAATTGAATTTCACCACTGAATTAAAAATTGCCCCTCTTAAATCCTGCTGGTTGGGGGATTCTGGGTTAGGGTTAGGCTGGGTGGCATAAGGTATTCTGTTACATGTAGAGGAGTGAAGGACTCTTCCCGTAAAAGATCTCTGGACTCTCTCAATTAATGTCCGATAAGCAGTGCGGGTTCCAGGCAGACGAGCTGTATTCGAGAATTGGTCTAGCAAAGGTTTTGTGTGCCCTAGTTTGCAGTACAATATTACCGGAGAAGAAGCTACGCAAGATTAGGTTAACAACGCATAATGCCTTTTTGGCAATGCTGTTACAGTGAGCTCTGGCGCTTAGATTATTTGAGATGAGTACTCCAAGGTCCTTGACAGAGTGAGGGTCGTCCACGACGTAGAACTTTTAACTAGACCAGGCCGTAGACAAAGAACAGTTTTAATACCGGAGACCTTATATAGCCCCTCTTTTGCCAAGGAAAAATTTCTGATGCAGATGATTGAATGTATAAACATGCTTCGGGAATTATGCTCAAATGCGTTCTGAGGCTCCCTCTACTGGTCCTCCATAATTGCAACTTTCTAAGATTAATGGAGTTGATGTCCAAGGCTTTAAAAACTTGGATTTGGGGCGGGAAAACAAGATTTTCCAACCTTGGGAATTTACAGGAGTGTGGACTTCCACTGCCAGAATTCCATAGCAAACAAGACCATTGATGAGAATTCTGGGAGTGGAAGTCCACCCCTCTTAAAGCATGGCTGGCTGGGGGATTCTGGGAGTGGAAGCCCACCCCTCTTAAAGCATTGCTGGCTGGGGGATTCTGGGAGTGGAAGTCCAACCCTCTTAAAGCATGGCTGGCTGGGGAATTCTGGGAGTGGAAGCCCACCCCTCTTAAAGCATTGCTGGCTGGGGAATTCTGGGAGTGGAAGCCCACCCCTCTTAAAGCATGGCTGGCTGGGGAATTCTGGGAGTGGAAGTCCACCCCTCTTAAAGCATTGCTGGCTGGGGGATTCTGGGAGTGGAAGTCCATCCCTCTTAAAGCATGGCTGGCTGGGGAATTCTGGGAGTGGAAGTCCACCCCTCTTAAAGCATTGCTGGCTGGGGAATTCTGGGAGTGGAAGCCCACCCCTCTTAAAGCATGGCTGGCTGGGGAATTCTGGGAGTGGAAGTCCACCCCTCTTAAAGCATGGCTGGCTGGGGATTCTGGGAGTGGAAGTCCATCCCTCTTAAAGCATTGCTGGCTGGGGGATTCTGGGAGTGGAAGTCCATCCATCTTAAAGCATGGCTGGCTGGGGGATTCTGGGAGTGGAAGTCCACCCCTCTTAAAACATTGCTGGCTGGGGGATTCTGGGAGTGGAAGTCTCCCCATCTTAAAGCATGGCTGGCTGGGGGATTCTGGGAGTGGAAGTCCACCCCTCTTAAAGCATTGCTGGCTGGGGGATTCTGGGAGTGGAAGTCCACCCCTCTTAAAACATTGCTGGCTGGGGAATTCTGGGAGTGGAAGCCCACCCCTCTTAAAGCATTGCTGGCTGGGGAATTCTGGGAGTGGAAGCCCACCCCTCTTAAAGCATGGCTGGCTGGGGGATTCTGGGAGTGGAAGTCCATCCCTCTTAAAGCATTGCTGGCTGGGGGATTCTGGGAGTGGAAGTCCATCCATCTTAAAGCATTGCTGGCTGGGGGATTCTGGGAGTGGAAGTCCATCCATCTTAAAGCATGGCTGGCTGGGGGATTCTGGGAGTGGAAGTCCAACCCTCTTAAAGCATGGCTGGCTGGGGAATTCTGGGAGTGGAAGCCCACCCCTCTTAAAGCATTGCTGGCTGGGGAATTCTGGGAGTGGAAGTCCACCCCTCTTAAAACATTGCTGGCTGGGGGATTCTGGGAGTGGAAGTTCACCCATCTTAAAACATTCTGGCTGGGGGATTCTGGGAGTGGACGTCCACCCCCTCTTAAAGCATGGCTGGCTGGGGGATTCTGGGAGTGGAAGTCCACCCCTCTTAAAACATTGCTGGCTGGGGGATTCTGGGAGTGGAAGTCTCCCCATCTTAAAGCATGGCTGGCTGGGGGATTCTGGGAGTGGAAGCCCACCCCTCTTAAAGCATTGCTGGCTGGGGGATTCTGGGAGTGGAAGTCCACCCCTCTTAAACCATTGCTGGCTGGGAATTCTGGGAGTGGAAGTCCTCCCCTCTTAAAGCATGCTGGCTGGGGGATTCTGGGAGTGGAAGTCCAACCCTCTTAAAGCATGGCTGGCTGGGGGATTCTGGGAGTGGAAGTCCTCCCCTCTTAAAGCATGCTGGCTGGGGGATTCTGGGAGTGGAAGTCCAACCCTCTTAAAGCATGGCTGGCTGGGGGATTCTGGGAGTGGAAGTCCAACCCTCTTAAAGCATGCTGGCTGGGGGATTCTGGGAGTGGAAGTCCACCCCTCTTAAAGCATGGCTGGCTGGGGGATTCTGGGAGTGGAAGCCCACCCCTCTTAAAGCATGCTGGATGGGGATTCTGGGAGTGGAAGTCCTCCCCTCTTAAAGCATGGCTGGCTGGGGAATTCTGGGAGTGGAAGTCCACCCCTCTTAAAGCATGGCTGGCTGGGGGATTCTGGGAGTGGAAGTCCACCCCTCTTAAAGCATGGCTGGCTGGGGGATTCTGGGAGTGGAAGTCCTCCCCTCTTAAAGCATGGCTGGCTGGGGGATTCTGGGAGTGGAAGCCCACCCCTCTTAAAGCATGGCTGGCTGGGGGATTCTGGGAGTGGAAGTCCACCCCTCTTAAAGCATGGCTGGCTGGGGGATTCTGGGAGTGGAAGCCCACCCCTCTTAAAGCAGGCTGGCTGGGGGATTCTGGGAGTGGAAGCCCACCCCTCTTAAAGCATGGCTGGCTGGGGAATTCTGGGAGTGGAAGCCCACCCCTCTTAAAGCATGGCTGGCTGGGGGATTCTGGGAGTGGAAGTCCTCCCCTCTTAAAGCAGGCTGGCTGGGGAATTCTGGGAGTGGAAGTCCTCCCCTCTTAAAGCATGCAGGCTGGGGGATTCTGGGAGTGGAAGTCCTCCCCTCTTAAAGCATGGCTGGCTGGGGAATTCTGGGAGTGGAAGTCCTCCCCTCTTAAAGCATGCAGGCTGGAGGATTCTGGGAGTGGAAGTCCTCCCCTCTTAAAGCATGCAGGCTGGGGGATTCTGGGAGTGGAAGCCCACCCCTCTTAAAGCATGGCTGGCTGGGGAATTCTGGGAGTGGAAGCCCACCCCTCTTAAAGCATGGCTGGCTGGGGGATTCTGGGAGTGGAAGTCCTCCCCTCTTAAAGCATGGCTGGCTGGGGATTCTGGGAGTGGAAGCCCACCCCTCTTAAAGCATGGCTGGCTGGGGAATTCTGGGAGTGGAAGTCCACCCCTCTTAAAGCATGGCTGGCTGGGGGATTCTGGGAGTGGAAGCCCACCCCTCTTAAAGCAGGCTGGCTGGGGGATTCTGGGAGTGGAAGCCCACCCCTCTTAAAGCAGGCTGGCTGGGGGATTCTGGGAGTGGAAGCCCACCCCTCTTAAAGCAGGCTGGCTGGGGGATTCTGGGAGTGGAAGCCCACCCCTCTTAAAGCATGGCTGGCTGGGGGATTCTGGGAGTGGAAGCCCACCCCTCTTAAAGCATGGCTGGCTGGGGAATTCTGGGAGTGGAAGTCCTCCCCTCTTAAAGCAGGCTGGCTGGGGATTCTGGGAGTGGAAGCCCACCCCTCTTAAAGCAGGCTGGCTGGGGGATTCTGGGAGTGGAAGCCCACCCCTCTTAAAGCAGGCTGGCTGGGGGATTCTGGGAGTGGAAGTCCTCCCCTCTTAAAGCATGCAGGCTGGGGGATTCTGGGAGTGGAAGTCCTCCCCTCTTAAAGCATGGCTGGCTGGGGGATTCTGGGAGTGGAAGCCCACCCCTCTTAAAGCATGGCTGGCTGGGGGATTCTGGGAGTGGAAGCCCTCCCCTCTTAAAGCATGGCTGGCTGGGGGATTCTGGGAGTGGAAGTCCTCCCCTCTTAAAGCAGGCTGGCTGGGGAATTCTGGGAGTGGAAGTCCTCCCCTCTTAAAGCAGGCTGGCTGGGGGATTCTGGGAGTGGAAGGAGGAATACAAACTGACCTGAAACTGCAGGGAATTCTAATCAAAGGAGGTAAATTTCCAGCCTCAAACTTTCCCTGAAATTCTCTGAATTTTTCTCTTTCAGAAGTGCCCTCGGTGGCCCCCGGCCAACCCAGCCTTCATTGGCCCCCCGGCCAAGCCAGCTTGGAGAGGACCCAAGGACCGCAGCGTATCTACGGGGAGGTCTGGTCAGGTACTTACCCCCTTCAATCTCCCTCCCACCCAATTTCTGCAGATTTTGTTTAAGTGGCTGTCCGAACAGATAAATTTGGGTAGCCTGTTTTGTTTGTTAAATGGCTTGTTTATTAAACAAATTCCTAGAGCCGCCCAATTTATGCAGAGGTGACTTACAAAATGGATAAAATCCAGTATATAGGTAGTCCTCGACTTACGACTGCAATGGAGCCCCAAATTCCCGTGGCTCGGCGAGATAGTTGTTAAGTGTGTTTTGGCCCATTTTACAAGTTTCGAGGTCGTCTCGAATAAAATGCATTTCAAACAAAATCTTTGAAGAAAAAACTCCTATTTATTGAGCACGACATCCTAACCTGACTCCAAACGAAGCCAACACTGACTTCCAGCCCAAAACCCTCCCTTTCCGTTCCCCACTCCCCTGCACTCATTGGTCATCTTCCAAGTCATTCTACCCCTAATCTACTCCAGCTCAAAGGAATTTCCCCCCTCCCATCCCATCTCCTCGGAAACATTATCTCCAGGGAAAATAAGTAGGTGAAAAGTCAGCCGTCCCTTTCCAGACGCTTCTCCTTCTTATGTCAGCACTAGAGTAAATGCACGTTGAAGTGCTGACACCTTTCTTGGCACAATTGTTAAGTGAATCACTGCAGTTGTTAAGCGAATCACACGGTCGTTCACCGAATCTGGCTTCTCCCCTTGACTTGGCTCGTCAGACGGTCGCCAAAGGGGATCACATGTCCCCGGGAAGCTGTGACCGTCATAAATACGAGCCAGTTGCCAAGCGACTGAATTTTGTTCACGGGCTGCGAAAGTCGTAGGTGGGAAAAAAACAGTCCTGCAGTTGTGACTTCGATCGGTCACTAAATGAACCGTTGTAAGTGGAGGACTGCCTGTGTAATCAAAGCTCACGAGGACCCCCACCCTGCCCACAGCAACAACCGCATCACCTCAGCCACTCGATCTGAGTGTTTTACTGGCCGGATGCCCTTCCTGTCGCCAATGAGGAGTTTTGTTCAGCAGATAAATTCTCATCGTGGCCAGAGAGAGAAATATTTGCCTCTGCCTAGGATCAAACTCACAGCCTCCCAATTGGGGTTCCCGGGATGGCTGGTGGAACCCCATTTTTAGAGACTTTCAGGGAAAAGAGCGGGGGGAGGGGCAGCCATACTTCGGGGGGAAGGAAGTCCCATTAGAAAGGGGCCACCCCCGAGAAGACCCTTTTTCTGGGGAGCCACCAGATGAAGCGTTTGTTCTTCCCCCAGGCGACTTTCAGACGGCAGACCTGACCTTCAAGTACGCGGATTACGGCAAGGAGATCCGGCAGGACTGGAACAAAGAGGACTCCAGGTTTTCAGGTACAGAGTTTTATTTTTATTTCTTTTATTTATGATTATTTCTTTATTGCAGGTAGTCTTCCTTCCTTCCTCCCTCCCTCCCTTCTTTCCTTCCTTCCCATCTTTTTCCCCACTCCTTTCTTTCTTTCCTTCCTTCCTTCTCATCTTTTTTCCCATTCCCTTCTTTCCCTCCTTCCCATCTTTTTCCCACTCCTTTCTTTCCTTCTTTCCTTTCTTCCTTCCCATCTTTTTTCCCATTCCCTTCTTTCCTTCCTTATTTCCCATCTTTTTCCCATTCACTTCTTTCCTTCCTTCCCATCTTTTTCCCATTCCTTTCTTTCCTTCTTTCCTTCCTTCCTTCCCATCTTTATTCCATTCCTTTCTTTCCTTCCTTCCTTCCTTCCTTCCTTCCTTCCCATTTTTCCCCACTCCTTTCTTTCTTTCCTTCCTTCCCATCTTTTTCCCATTCTCTTCTTTCCTTCCTTACTTCCCATCTTTTTCCCATTCCCTTCTTTCCTTTCTTCCCATCTTTTTCCCACTCCTTTCTTTCCTTCTTTCCTTTCTTCCTTCCCATCTTTTTCCCATTCCTTTCTTTCCTTCCTTCCTTCCCATTTTTCCCCACTTCTTTCTTTTTTCCTTCCTTCCTTCCCATCTTTTTTCCCGTTCCCTTCTTTCCTTCCTTACTTCCCATCTTTTCCCATTCCTTCTTTCCTTCCTTTCTTCCTCTTCCTCCCTCCCTCTCTCCCTGCTTGCCTGCCTTTTCTTTCTTTCTTTCTCTTTCTTTCTTCCTTCCCCCTTTCTTTCTTTCTTTCTTTCTTTCTTTCTCTTTCTTTCTTTCTTCCTTTCTTTCTTTCTTTTCTTTAAATTTCCTGAGAGTGACAACAATTCATCATTGGAACAACTTGCCTCCAGAAGTTGTGATGCTCCATCACTGGAAGCTTTCAAGAAGAAATTGGACAGCTCTTTCTCTGAACTAGTACAGGGTCTCCTTTTTGAGCAGAGGGGTGGACTAGAAGACTTCCAAGGTCCCTTCCAACTCTATCTGTCTATCTGTCTGTCTGTCTGTCTATATCTATCTATCTATCTATCTCTATCTACCTACCTACCTACCGTGTTCCCCCCAAAATAAGATCCTGTCTTATATTTTTTTGAAGCCCGAAATAAGCGCTTGGCCTTATTTTCGGGGAGGTCATATTATTTTGGGGCACGTGGGGCAAGACGGGGCTCCTCTTGCCGTCTTACCTGATTTCTAGCTCTGCGTTTAAATATTTTTGGGGAGGGCTTATTTTTTTGGGGGAGGCTTATTTTAGCGCATGAGCTCAAAAGCCCGATTGGGCTTATGATCAGGGGAGGTCTTATTTTCGGGGAAACAGGGTATCTACCTACCTACCTATCTATCGTATCTATCCATCCATCCATCCATCCATCCATCCATCCATCCATCCATCCATCTATCCATCTATCCATCCATCCATCCATCCATCCATCCATCCATCCATCCATCCATCTATCCATCCATCCATCCATCCATCCATCCATCCATCCATCCATCCATCCATCCATCTATCCATCTATCCATCCATCCATCCATCCATCCATCCATCCATCCATCCATCCATTCATCCATCTATCCATCCATCCATCCATCCATCCATCCAATCCATCTATCCATCTATCCATCTATCCATCTATCCATCCATCCATCCATCTATCCATCTATGCATCCATCCATCCATCCATCCATCCATCTATCTATCTATCTATCTATCTATCTATCTATCTATCTATCTATCTATCTATCTATCTATCTATCTATTATCTAGCTATGTCTGTCTGTCTGTCTGTCTATTGGTATCTATCTATCTACCGGTCTCTCTCTCTCTCTCTCATCTCTCTCTCTACATCCATCCATCCATTGTTAAGTTTTCAAGAAACATTTCCTCAGGATGGCGTAAGGCCTGCAGCCTTGGGCAGGGTGTTGGAGGACAAGACCCCCACGGCCCCTTCTAGCCCCTTCCGGATTCTACCACAGGCTCCACCCGGGTCCCAAGCCTGCTTCTCCTCCTCTTGGCTCCTTCCTCTTGCTCCGGCCTGGGCGTGGCTGCCTGTCGGTCCGCGGAGCTCCAGGGAGGCTTTCTCTTTGCAGACCTGCGCCTGGGCATGCTGGAAATCCAGGCCCGGGGCCCCCCGGCCACCCTCAGCCCCTTTGAGAAGAGCTCCCTCAACCTGCCCCAGTTCGTCCAGCTGATGGAGACCTTCGTCAGCGACGGCGCGTCTCTGCCGAGGCTGAAGAAGCTCGTGGAGTTCGTGAAGAGGGGATACCTGCTGACGGAGGCTCAGAAGTTCAGCCAGCTGGAGAAAGTAAACACCCCACGGGCCCCTGTCCGCCCTCCCCCTCCCCACAACCTTTCCCCAAGACGGGGGGGTCCTCGACTTGCAACCATTCGCTTAGTGACCATTCAAAGTTGCAGCAGCACTACAAAAAGGCACTTAGGACCTTTTTTCACACTTATGTCCCCAATGGGTCACGCAATCAAAATTCGGACCCTGGGCGACGGACTCGTATTTATGGCGGTCGCAGAGTCCCGGGGTCACGTGACCCCCTTTTGCAAACGTCTGACTGGCAAAGTCAAGAGGGAAGCCGGATTCGTTTAACGACCGGATTGCTGTGTTCCGAGCCATGGTGGCAGAGTGGTTAGAGAGTGCAGTATTGCAGGCAGTATAGAAGTCTAAGTGCTGTTGCTTGGGAAGGAAGGAAGGAAGGAAAGAAGGAAGGGAGGGCGGGAGGGAGGGAGGGAGGGAAAGGGTAAATGAAAGGAAGGAAGAAGGAAAGAAGGGAAAGGGAAAATATGGGAAGGAAGAAAAGGAAAAGGAAAAATATGGGAAGGAAACAAGGGAAAGGGGAAAAGATGGGAAGGAAGGAAGGAGAGCAAAGGGGAGGAAGGAGGAAGGAAGGAAGAAAAGAAGGGTATGGGGAAAGGATGGGAAGGAAGGAAGGAAGAAAAGGAAGGGGAGGTAGGAGGAAGGAAGGAAGAAAGGAAGGAAGGGAAAGGGAAAGGGAAAAAGATGGGAAGGAAGGAGGGAGGGAGGGAAGGAAGGAAGGAGGAAGGAAGGAAGGAAAAAAAGAAGGGTATTGGGAAAAGATGGGAAGGAAGGAAGGAAGGAAAGGAAGGGGAGGTAGGAAGGAAGGAAGGAATAAAGGAAGGAAGGGAAGGAAGGGAGGGAGGAAGAAGAGCAAGGGGAGGGAGGGAGGGAGGAAGGAAGGAAGGAAAGGAAGGGGAGGTTGGAGGAAGGAAAGGAAGGAAGGAAAGAAGGAAGGAAGGAAGAAAAGGGTATGAGGAAAAGATGGGAATGAAGGAAGGAAGAAAGGAAGGAAGGAAGGAAGGAAAGAAAAGGGTTTGGGGAAAAGATGGGAAGGAAGGAAGGAAGGAGGGAGGGAAGGAAGGAAGGAAGGAAGGAAAGGAAGAGGAGGTAGGAGGAAGGAAGGAAGGAAGGAGGGAGGGGAGGAAGGAAGGAAGGAAAGGAGGAGGTAGGAGGAAGGAAGGAAGGAAGGAAAAGGAAGGAAGAAAAGGGTATGAGGAAAAGATGGGAAGGAAGGAAGGAAGGAAGGAAGGAAGGAAGGAAGGAAGGGAAAGGAAAAAAGATGGGAAGGAAAGAAGGGAAAGGGAAAGATATGGGAAGGCAGGAAGGAAGGTGAGAAGGAAGCCAAATGAGCAGAAGGAAGGAAAGAAGCTGTGGTAGTGCAGTGGTTAGAAGGCAGTATTGCAGGGTAACTTTGCCCACTGTCAGCAGTTCGATCCTGACCGGCTCAAGGTTGATTCGTCCTTCCACGGTGGGTAAAATGAGAACCCAGATTGTTGGGGGCCAGAGGCTGACTCTCTAAAAGCCCCGTGAAACGGTATATAAGTCTAAGTTGCTGTGGCTAGTTCTACTAACATAACAATGCAGTGAGTCACTTAACAACCGTGGCAAGAAAGGTTGTAAGATGGGGCAAAACTCGCTTAACCACTCTCTCGCTTAGCAACAGAAACCTGGGGCTCCTTTGCGGTCGTAAGTCGAGGACTACCTGTACACCAGAGAGTTTCTAATCGTGCCCTTTCCTCCCCCTTCCCCCTCCCTCCCCCCCCCTCCAGGTTCATCAGTCGTCCATGTTGGTCCGGCGGCAGCTTCTCGTCGCATCCCTGTTTGAGAAGTGGGACAACGAATCCTCGGGGTTCATAGAGATGAGCGAGGTGGACTCCGTCCTCAGCACCTTTAAGGAGGGCATGGAAGAAGAGGCCCTGACCAAGGGTGAGAGGAACGCAGAGGCCCTGCCAGAAAAAGAGCCGTCCTGATCAGGAACGGGATAGGCCCGTGATGGCGAACCTATGGCACGCGTGCCACAGGTGGCACGCGGAGCCATATTAGTGGACACGCCAGCTGATTTTCGGGCCTTCCGGGCCCACCAGAAGTAGGGAAACAGGCTGTTTCCTGCCTCTGGAGGGCCTGGGGGGGGGTGGGGAAGGCCCGTTTTTCTTTTTTACCTGGCTCCAGATTCTCTCTGTGTATCTGGGAAGGGCGAAAACAGCCTTCCCCACTCCCTTGGAGGCCCTACGGAGGCTGAAAGGGCCCATTTCCCCACTCCCGGTGGGACAGGAAGTGACGTTTTTTCCTGTCCCCAGCCTCCAGAGACTCCTGGAGAGGCTCCTAGAGACTTCTAGAGAGGCTGCTAGAGACTCCTAGAGAAGTTCTGGAGGCTGGGGACAGGAAAAAAACGTCACTTCCTGTCCCACCGGGAGTGGGGAAATGGGCCCTTTCAGCCTCCGTAGGGCCTTCAAGGGAGTGGGGAAGGCTGTTTGCGCCCTTCCCAGATACACAGAGAGGATCTGGAGCCAGGTAAGAAAAAAAAACGGGCCTACCAGACCATCATGTGCCAGGAGCTGGGGGGGAGGGAGGGGGGAGGGGGTTGTGCACGCATGCGCATGGGCACGTGCGCGTGCGACCCTCCCCCGCCCCCCCTCTCCTGGCACGCGATGGCAAAAAGGTTAGCCATCACTGGGATAGGGACTCCTGCTTGAACAGCGGGTTGGACTAGAAGACCTCTCGGGTCCCTTCCAGCTCTTATTCTGTACAGGCATTCCTCTACATACGATAATACACAATTGAGCCCAAAGGTTCAAGCGTCCCTTTGTAGGCATTACCACATTTTTTAAGGATCGCTGGGATACAGGTGGGTCCTCGACGTACGACCACAATCGTACGTCCAAAATCTCCACGGCTAAGCGAGACGTCTGTTAAATGAATTTCCTCCCCCCACCCCCTATTTTATGACCTTTCTTGCCACGGTTATTAAGAGAATCAGTGCTGTTTATGAAGTTAGGAAGACGGTCATTAAGCGAGTCCCATTGACTCTGCTTGTCAGAAGGTCGCAAAAGGGGGAATCGCATGACGCCGCGACCGTCCTAAATGTGAGGCAGCCGCTGAGCCTCCAAATGTAAATCATGTGACGACGGGGATGCTGCAAGGGTCATAAGTGTGAAAAACGGTCGTAAGTCACTTTTTTTCAGTACCTTCGGTCACTAAGCGAACCGTTGTAAATTGAGGACCACCTGTAATGAACCCCACAAGTTTTAAATATCCAAAGCCACCTTAAACGTTAGTATTTTTTTTTTAACCTTTAAATGAGCATTACAGGTAGTCCTCGACTTACAACCACACATTTAGTGACCATTCAAAGTTACAACCGCACTGAAAAAAAGCGATTTATGACCGTTTTCCACAGTTAACGACCACCCCCGCAGCATCCCCACGGTCACGTGATTAAAATTCAGACGCTTGGCAACTGACTCGTATTTATGACGGTTGACAGTCGTAGGAGGAAGGTGCTGAAGGGAGTGGGGTTTGCCGAGTGGAGGAGAAGGGGAGGAGAAAGACCATACACTGCTAGGTGCTCTCTGAGCTTGGTTGCTTTCTTGCAGACGTTTCACGACCCAACTAGGTAACATCATCAGTGCTGGTGAGTGTGGTGTTTGCTTCCTGTTTCTGTACAGTAACTTGCCTTGCCCGTGTTGGTGGGAGTCTGATTTTCTCCTTGATTTGGGGTATTGTTTTCTGTTGATTGTTTGTCTAGTGTCAATCCTTGCTTATCTGCATGTGGGCTGCCGGGGATGATGTTTTTCTGCTCTTTTTTGCTTCCTCCTTAGCTTTTTTTATCGTCTCTTTCGAACGGTGTGTAAATATGGTTCGTCTCTATGTGTCTATAGATGGCGGAGCTACATATACAAGAAGTCCTCAACTTACAACCACAATTTAAGCCAAAATTTCTGCTGCTAAGCGAGACATTTGTTCAGCGAGCTTTGCCCCATTTTTACAACCGTTCCTGCCACTGTTGTTAAGTGAATCACAGCAGTTCTTACGTTAGTGACACGGTTGTTAAGTGAATCCGGCTTCCCCATTGACTTTATTCGTCAGAAAGTTGCAAAAGTTGATCACAGGACCCCGGGGACATTCCAACCGTCGTAAATATGAATCAGTTGCCAGGCCTCTGAATTTTGATCACATGATCCTGGGGGTGGCTGCAACGGTCGTAAGTGTGAAAAACAGTTATAAGTCACTTTTTTAAAATTGTAACTTCAAATGGCCACGAAGTGAACTGTTTGGCAGCTACTGGGTTGCTGCCAAGCTTCTTATCGGAAGAATTGGTTGTCTGCCAGTTTATTTAACCCCCGGCTGTCTGTTTGTGTGCGTGTGTGAGACGGGGACAGAACACTGTTGTAGGTCGAGGACTACTGTACTCCAACGCTGGAGGTTTTTAAGAAGAGATTGCACAGTGATTTGTCTCAAATAGAGTTTCCTGCTTGAGCCGGGGGTTGGACTAGAAGACCTCCAGGGTCCCTTCCAACTGTTATTCCAACAGAATAACACTGTTGATGCTTCTCCTGATGAATCCGTTGTGGGGCAAGTGCACCTTCCTATCTCTGATCCTGCATCCTCTGGAGGAATCAGGAGTGGAGACCACAAGGTCCATCTTCCCAGGTCCTCAGCTGAAAAGCACCGGTCCCAGGCTGACCTCTTACCTCTTCCTCCCCCCCCCCCACAGCTAAGATGCAGCTTCCCTTCCCCACCTGGCACCCCAGCGGGATCGTGAAGTTAACGCAGAAAGACTTCCAAATCTACATCGAGCTGGTGATGTCCGAGCTCACCGGAAGCGAAGAAGAGGTGTTGGACAACGTTGTGGAGTTCCTGATGATGGCCGTGGGGCGCACCCACCTGGAACGGTTGCGAGGGAACGCGCGGCGCAAGTGGCTGCTCCGGATCGAACACACGGCCATGACCAGCGGAGGGCGCATGGAGCCCATCTACCAAGAGGTCTTCAAGGCTCTCTCCAGGGTGAGTAGATCCGTCAACCAGACTGGTCACAGAGCATCAGACCCAAAATGGCACCAAGAAGAAGAAGAGGGTCTGGGGTATGTCCTTAAGGAGAAAGGTGGATCCGGTGGCTGTGCTCAATTAAAGAAAAGATTTCCTTAAAGATTGGCAGTTTGGAAATGCATTTATTTTGAGATAGCATCGAAGACTGACAGACGGACAAGACTGACCTTTTGCCCCCCAATCCCTCCCTTTCCGATCCCCAAATCTCTGCTTCTCATTGGCTATCTTCCAAGTCATTCTTCAGACTTCTTGTCTCGTCATTTCCCAGGAATGTCTCCCCCCCTCCTCATTTCCACGACAACCCGACTTCAAAGGGATTTAGCAGGGAAGAGCACAAACATCCAAGCTGACCGCCTCATAGCTAAATTCCATGCAGATCACCCGGACAAGCTGGGAGGGGGTGGGGTACCCCCTCGGAGGGGGTGAGGTACTAAACTTGTTGTTTATCTCACGCACGCCCCACTGGGAGAGTGAAGGGAGAGGGGCCGGATGTCAGCGCTTCAACGCTGGCATAGAGAGCAGAGGAGAGAGAGAGATAAGCTCTGAACTTTTGCCTGCTAAATCCCTTTGAACTCGGGTTGTCGTGGAAATGAGGAGGGGAGGGACATTCCTGGGAAATGACGAGACAAGAAGTCTGAAGAATGACTTGGAAGATAGCCAATGAGAAGCAGAGATTTGGGGATCGGAAAGGGAGGGATTGGGGGGCAAAAGGTCAGTCTTGTCCGCATCGAGTCATGATCCGGTGGCTGTGCTCAATTAAAGAAAAGATTTCCATAAAGATTGGCAGTTTGGAAATTCATTTATTTTGAGATAGCATCGAAGTCCGACACAAGGTAGGTTGGGACTTTGAACTGGACCAAAACCTGGAGAAGGTAGGAAGGCTTGGGCAGGGAGACATGATGTCCATGGACCTGAAGGCCCAGGGTGAAGACCAGCTTCATCTTGAAGCTCCTGGACAACTTTGGACCAGTTGTTCTTGTTGTAGAGGAAACATCTGAGGAAGCATGTCTATGGAGGTTCTCCATCATCCAGGTCACAGTTGTCCCAAAGCTTCCTTGTCTTCAAGAGGCAACTGGACTTTCTGTTTTTTCTTTGAAGAAGTTTCAATTCTCATCCAAGAAGCTTCTTCCGCTCTAACCGAATGGTGGGGAAGGGAAGGATTTATATTCCTCGCAGACAACTGGTCATTTGCATCCTTGGAGAGGGTCGTTGAGGCCACTTGGAGGTTTGTCTGTGTCCTCAGGGCCACCTGAGTGGCAGAAATGGGTGTGGAGCCTTCTACAACACAGTCCTTTCAGCAGTTCCAAGATGTCTCCACACCCATTTGCACCGCTTAGGTGACCTTGAGGACACAAACTTCCAAGCAGCCTCAACGACTCTTAAAGGATGCAAATGACCAGCTGTTGCACCTTCCATGTATGCGCCTGGCCTCGAAAATGTGCCTAAGTAGGACTACATAGCGCCTGGGTGGATGGGCGGGCCCACCCACGATCTCCGCTACTGGTTCGGTTGAGCCGGCCCGAACCGGCTGCATACCATCTCTGACTGGGGCCAAGCCCCTTTTGGGCAGTTCTGGGAATTAAAACCCACATATCTGTTGTGGTCCGCCAGCAGCCCACGGAGCTGGCAGCGGAGTCGGACAGCGAGGAGGCTGGGGAGGAACATGGGCCAGTCCTGGAGTCTGGGGAAGGCTCAGACGAGGGCTCTACGTCGGAGGCAGAGATGTGCCATCGGGGAGTGATATGCGGACTCCGGAGCCTCCAGAGGCCGACAGTAGAGAGGCAGAGGAACAGGAGGAGCCTGTTCCTAGCGCATGCATGAGAAGAGCTGCCAGAAGGCAAGAGCAGCTAAAGCAGAGAGGGCGACTCTGGAGTAAGGCCAGGAGATGATTGGCTCCTCCCATAAGGCTTAAAACAAACCAGCAACGGCTCTTGGGCTCTTTGTCGGAAAACAACGTTGATAGATTTGTTTCTTCTCTTGCTGCATTTATTTCTTGTCGGCGTCTTCTGCTCCTGAACTTTTGCCAAGAAAGGCCTTTGGCAGTTTGCCTAATTATACCAAGGTCGGTGATAAACTGAGGAATGGTGTTTTGAAGAGTTTGCTTTAATTTAGTTTGGACTACGCTGAGAATGAGTTAATTCTCAGCTGTTCTAATAAAGTCTGTTTGTTTATAACTGATTGCATCTGATACTACCTACTTGGGCCTGGGTCACAACAATATCTGCAAGCTGAGAAAAAACTGCATTATGGGTCAGTTTTTTTCTGGGGAATTCTGGGAGTTGAAGTTCACCCGTCTTCAATTGCCAAGGTTGAGAAACATTGGTCTTCTAATGAATCTTCTCTGAGTATGGTGTTGGACGTCTGAAGTCCAAGGGACTGTAAGGTCCTTTCCAAGTCCAGGGTTCTAGGGCTGGGGTTAGGGTTAAACTGCCCCATAATTTAGGGCGATAAGCCTGCTCTCTCTCTCTCTCGCTCTCTCTCTCTTGCAGGACACCGATGCCCATGGAGACAAGAAGAAAGTCAGCGCCTATCTCGCCTTTCTGGAATACAACGTCATTGCCCCTGAACGAGGAGACATTCTCCTCCGCTATGTGGCTTGCACGGAAGACGACGCCCCTTATCTCCTCAACCAGATCCTTTTCACGGATATGCCGGGAGTCAGGTAAGGGACTCTCACTGAGCATCTATCCATCCATCCATTAATCAATTCATCCATCCATCTCATCCATCCCATCCCATCCAGTCATCCAGTCATTGATCCTTTGATCCATCTGTCCATCCATTCATTGGTTTTTCAATCATCTATTCATCCCATCCATCCATCTCATCCATCCATTAATCAATGCATCTATCCATACATCTTATCCATCCATCCATCCATCTACTCATCTATCCATCCATCCATCCATTCATCCATTTACTCATCAGTCTATCCATTCATTCATCCATCTACTCATCTATCCATCCATTCATCCATCTACTCATCTATCCATCCATCCATCCATTCATTCATCCATCTACTCATCTATCCATCCATCCATCCATTCATTCATCCATCTACTCATCTATCCATCCATTCATCCATCTACCCATCCATCCATCCATTAATCAATGCATCCATCCATCCATCTTATCCATCAATCCATCCATCTTACCCATCCATCCATCTTATCGATCTATCCATCCATCTACTCATCTAGCCATCCATCCATTCATCCATCTATTCATTCATCCATCCATCCATCCATTCATCTATCTACCCATCCATCCATCCATTAATCAATTCACCCATTCTTTTCTTTTCAAGAAAAGAAGGACTACGGGTGACATGATAGCATGTTGCAATATTTGAAGGGGTGCCACAAAGAAGAGGGGGTCAAGCTTTTCTCCAAAGACCCAGAACGCAAGAGAAGAAGCAACGGATGGAAACTAACCAAGGAGAGAAGCAACCTAGAACTAAGGAGAAATTTTGTGACAGTGAGAACAATTAACCAGTGGAACAACTTTCCTCCAGAAGTTGTAAATGCTCCAACACTGGAGGTTTTTAAGAAGAGATTGGATAACCATTTGTCTGAAATGGTATAGGGCTTCCTACTGAAGCAGGGGGTTGGACTAGAAGACCTCCAAGATCCCTTACAACTCTGTTATTCCATTCTATCCATCCATCCATCTGTCCATGCACTCATCAATCCATCAATCTTTCAATCCATCTCTCCACTCCATGCCTTCATGCAGTCATTGATGCTTTGACCCATCTATCCATCCATTCATAGATTTTTTGATTCATCTATTCATCCCATCCATCCATCCATATCTGTTTTCCAACTGCCTGCCTGCTTGCCTGCCCATCCATCCATCCATCCACTCATCCATCCACTCATCCATCCAACTATCTATCCATTCATCGATCCATTGATCCATCGATCCATCGATCCATCGATCCATCCATTCATCAATCCACTCATCCATCCATCCATCTATCCAACTATCTATCCATCCATCCCTTCATCGATCCATCCATCCATCCATTCATCCATCCATCCATCCATCTGTCCAACTATCTATCCATCGATTTATTCACTGATTCACTCATCAATCCACTCATCCATCCATCCATCCAACTATCTATCCATCCAGCCATCCATTCATCGATCGATCGATCCATCCATCCAACTATCTATCCATCCAGCCATCTATCCAACTCTCTATCCATCCATCCATTCATCAATCCATCCATCCATCGATCCATTGATCCAACTATCTATCCATCCATCCATTCATCAATCCATTCATCCATGCACCCATCCATCCAACTATCTATTCATCCATTTATTCATCAATCCATCCATTCATCCATTCATCCATTCATCCATTCATCCATTCATCCATCCATCCATCCATCCATCCATCCATCCAACTATCTATCCATCCATCCATTCATCCACTCATCAATCCACTCATCCATCCATCCATCCATCCATCTATCCAACTATCTATCCATCCATCCCTTCATCGATCCATCGATCCATTCACTCATCAATCCATCCATCCATCTATCCAACTATCTATCCATCAATTCATTAACTCATCAATCCACTCATCCATCCATCTATCCAACTATCTATCCATCCATCCCTTCATCGATCCATCCATCCATCCATTCATCCATCCATCCATCCATCCATCCATCTGTCCAACTATCTATCCATCGATTTATTCATCAATTCACTCATCAATCCACTCATCCATCCATCCATCCAACTATCTATCCATCCAGCCATCCATTCATCGATCGATCCATCCATCTATCCAACTATCTATCCATCCATCCATCCATCCATCCATCCATCCATCTGTCCAACTATCTATTCATCGATTTATTCATCGATTCACTCATCAATCCACTCATCCATCCATCCAGCCATCCATTCATCGATCGATCGATCGATCCATCCAACTATCTATCCATCCATCCATCCAACTATCTATCCATCCATCCATTCATCAATCCATCCATCGATCCATTGATCCAACTATCTATCCATCCATCCATCCACTCATCAATCCACTCATCCATCCATCCATCCATCCATCCATCTATCCAAATATCTATCCATCCATTCATCAATCCATCCATCCATCCATCCATCCATCCATTCATCCATCCACTCATCCATCCACTCATCCATCCACTCATCCATCCATCCATCCATCCATCCATCCACCCATCCATCCATCCATCTATCCGACTATCTATCCATCCATCCATTCATCAATCCATCCATCCATCCATCGATCCATCCATCCAACTATCTATCCATCTATCCATCCACCCATCCACTCATCAATCCACTCATCCATCCATCCATTCATCCATCCATCCATCCATCCATCCAACTATTTATCCATCCACCCATTCATCCATCCATCCATCCATCCATCCATCTATCTATCCATCCATCCATTCATCAATCCATTCATCCATCGATCCATCCATCCAACTATCTATCCATCCATCCATCCACTCATCAATCCACTCATCCATCCATCCATCCATCCATCCATCCATTCATCCATCCATCCATCCATCCATCCAACTATTTATCCATCCATCCATTCATCCATCCATCCATCCATCCATCCATCTATCTATCCATCCATCCATTCATCAATCCATTCATCCATCGATCCATCCATCCAACTATCTATCCATCCACTCATCAATCCACTCATCCATCCATCCATTCATCCATCCATCCATCCATCCATCCAACTATTTATCCATCCATCCATTCATCCATCCATCCATCCATCCATCCATCCATCCATCCATCTATCTATCCATCCATCCATTCATCAATCCATTCATCCATCGATCCATCCATCCAACTATCTATCCATCCATCCATCCACTCATCAATCCACTCATCCATCCATCCATCCATCCACTCATCCATCCATCCAACTATCTATCCATCCATCCATTCATCAATCCATCCATCCAACTATCTATCCATCTATCCATCCACCCATCCACTCATCAATCCACTCATCCATCCATCCATTCATCCATCCATCCATCCATCCATCCAACTATTTATCCATCCATCCATTCATCCATCCATCCATCCATCCATCCATCCATCCATCTATCTATCCATCCATCCATTCATCAATCCATTCATCCATCGATCCATCCATCCAACTATCTATCCATCCATCCATCCACTCATCAATCCACTCATCCATCCATCCATCCATCCATCCATCCATCCACTCATCCATCCATCCCTGGGTGGGACATAGGCTATTTTGCCTTTGCCCATGGTACAAACTATGACGCAGCCCCTCTCCTGTTTTGCTGCTCCTTAGCTGTTTCTATCCCCAGATGTTGCCTCACCAAAGCTTCTCTTCCCCCCCCCACACTCACCCCACCCCCAGCTTTGCAGCCGTCTTGGACGACAAGCCCATCCACGTCCCCCGAGTTCAGCTGCATGGAAATATCCACTTCTGGAACCCAGATCGCCCCAAAGATGAGCAAAGGGGCTCCTTCCTGGTGCTGCCCCTGGAAGATGTCCAGAGAAGAGTCTTTGGCATCCTCGGGCTGGACACCCTCCAGGACAAGAATGAAAAAACCATCTTCGTCCCCCATGAGATCCATTACTATCAGGTAGGAATTAAAGAGGGCAGCCAGGAATGTGGGAGCAGGGGGGCTTGTCCTGATTTTGTTAAAAAGATCCCATTAGCTACTCCTTTGGGGGAGTTTACAAGAGTCCAAAGTAAAGTTTCTCAACTTTATGGGCTTTACGATGGGTGGACTTCCACTCCCAGAATTCAATAGAATAGAATAGAATAGAATAGAATAGAATAGAATAGAATAGAATAGAATAGAATAGAATAGAATAGAATAGAATAGAATAGAATAGAATAGAATAGAATAGAATAGAATAAACTTTATTCTTACTTTGAAAGTAATGACAAAATAAGTAAACAAATAAATACAAAATTATGCGTACTGTATATGACACAGAGAAACAACACAGTCTAGTTCAGATGTATACATGTACATGGCGAGAAAAATGAATCTTGTGAGTTTACCAGACGGATGGCCTAGGAACAAAGCCATTATAGAATCTGGTAGTCCTGCTAGAAATACTCCTCCCAGAGGGGAGCGACAGAAACAGACTGTGAAGTGGGTGAGTGGGGTCTCTAACAATGCTTCGAGCTCTAAACACGTAGCACTTATAAGCAGCATCCTGAATGACAGGAAGCGAGCGTCCTATAATCATCTCTACTGTCCTCACCACTCTCTGTAGGGACTTTCTATCTGAGGCCAGCATGCTTTCAGGTGGGTGAACTTCAACAATAAATAAACAACAATCACTTTGTTCTTCCTCAGGGGCTCGCACACTCCTTCAGCAAAGCCTACCATTACATCCGCACCCAGCAAAGTCTGCTGCAGATTATCGTGGCCGGGGTGCAGTGGCTCTCGGGCCGTGCCCCGGGCCTTCAAAGCATCACTGCCTACTTCATGGAACCTGGAGAGACCCGGGTAATTCTGTTATAATCTGGTGTAAAGTTTGTTCTCCTTTATATAGCACAAGTCATCCACAAACAAACCGAAGAGAAATTTGGGGTGCAATTGTGGTCGTAAATCGAGGACTACCTGTATTTAGAATGACCTATGGATGGAGTTAATTTCTCTGCTTCTGCTGAGACTTGCCAGCAGGTGGAGTTTATGCTCTATTATTGAGAATTCCTTCGGGGCTTTAGAATAGAGGAAAATTAAATACAGAAAAACAAGAGTTGGGAGGGACCTTAGAGGTCTTCTAGTCCAGCCCCTTGCTCAAGCAGAAGATCTTATACCAAGTCACACAAATTGATTGTCCGATCTCTTCTTAAAAACCTCCGGTGATGGATCACCCACAATTTCTGGTGGCAAGGTGTTCCATTGGTTAATTGTTCTCACTGTTAGGAAGTTTCTCCTTAATTCCAGGTTGCTTCTCTCCTTGATTGGTTTCCATCCGTTGTCCCAAAGGTGCCTTTTCCAAGAGGCAACTGGACTTCCTTGTTTTTTCTTTGAAGACGTTTCGCTTCTCATCCCAGAAGCTTCTTCAGCTCTGTGTCGGTTTAATAGTTTCTCTGCTGCTCCCCTGACACAAACCTAGGCAGTTTATAATCAATAAGGCCATTAAAACTGCCAAACCAGATAATAAGAATGCGATCCCTCCGTCTGAGCTGTTCTCTGAGCTTCGAAGGGCCCCACTGCAAATGTTCCCATAGATAACAGAGACGCCCATCGCTCGGTTCCCTTTTGGGGAAACTCCGTCTGTAAACAAGGAAAGGAGGGCAAGAGAAATAAGCCCAAGGCAGGAAAGGGAAGAGGTTAAAAAAAAGGAAATATGTATCATAATAGGAGCCTGATTTAGCTCAACAGACAGAAGCACTGTAATTTAACACCAGCTGTCTGCAATTAAAAGTAAGATTGAATCTCGCCAAGGCTCAAGGTTGACTCAGCCTTCCATCCTTTCTAAGGTAGGTAAATTGAGGACCCAGTTTGTGGGGGCAATAAGCTGCCTTTGTATAAATATACAAAAGTATGAAGGCTATTGCTTAACTCACTGTAAGCCGTCCTGAGTCTCCGGAGAAGGGCGGCATATAAATCAAATTAAAAAATAAATAAATAACAATACATATATTTAAGGATCGTATTGGGGTAAACACCATTCTACTTACAACCTTAGCACAGCTGTTCAAACAACTTAAACTTTTTAATGCATTTCTCTATCTTTTCTTTCTTTCCTTTCCCTGTCTTTCCTTCCTTCTTTTTCCTTCTCCTTTCTACTGCTCCTCCTCCTTCCTTCCTTCCTTCCTTCCTTCCTTTCTTCTTTCCCTCCCTTACTTTTTCCCTTCCTTTTCCTTCCCTTTCCCTTCCTTCCTTCTTCCTTCCTTCCTTCCTTCCTTCCTTCCTTTTCTTCCTCTTCCTTTCCTTCCATCCAGTGGTGAAAGTTAATTTTTTTTAATTACCGGTTCCGTGGGTGTGGCTAGGTGGGCATGGCTTGGTGGGCGTGGCAGGGGAAGGATATTGCAAAATCTCCATTCCCTCCCCACTCCAGGGAAATGATACTGCAAAATCCCCATTCCCATCCCACTCTGGGGCCAGCCAGAGGTGGTATTTGCCAGTTCTCCGAACTACTCAAAATTTCCGCTACCAGTTCTGCCGAACCTGTCGGATTTCACCCCTGCTTCCATCCCTCCCTCCCTCCCTCTCTCCCTCCCTCCCTCCCTCCCTTTCTTTGTTCCTTCCTCTCTTAACTCCTTCCTTCCTTCCTTTCATCTCCATCTGGAGATTTTTAAGATTGACAAACATTTTAAGATTTGACAAACATTCGTCTGGAATGGTCTGGGGTCTCCTGTTTGAGCAAGGGTTGGACTAGAAGACCTCCAAGGTGCCTTCTAACTCAGTTATCCTGCTATCCTTCCTTCCTTCCTTCCTTCCTCCCTCCCTCCCTCCCTCCCTCCCTCCCCCCTCCCTATAAATTTTGTCTTTAGTAAACATTCTGCCAATAGCAAAATCATAAAGGAGTTTTTTTGCCAGTCTTGCCACCATTCACCATTCATTTTCCCTGCCAATCGGAACTTCTTTGGTCTTCTACATTAACTTCAAGGTCCACCTTCCTCGGACAGTCTACCGAGAAATTCTTTCCTCTCCTTTCTCCCAGATGCACGACTACACCTTGCGCAAAGTCTTGGATTCAGATTTGAAAGGGGAGGTGAAAGTCAATGCCCCACCAGCCCCGACACTCACCAGGAAAGAAGACGCCTTCAAGTAAGCCAGAGAGGGCGGCATTTTGGAGGTCCACACTTGAAGGTTGGGTGGAGAAAAGGGGCACTTGGGCTGCTAATAGAGGAAGGTATTTGTAGCTCAGGATTGAACTGTTGGGGTCCTTGGTGCTGTCTGAGCTTGCATGTTTTCTCGCGGACGTTTCATGACCCAAATAGGTAACATCATCAGTGCTGGAAGGAAGGAAGGAAGGAAGGAAGGAAGGAAGGAAGGAAGGAAGGAAGGAAGGAAGGAAGGAAGGAAGGGTGGGTGGGAGGGAGGGGAGGAGGAGGGTGACTATGGAGTCCTTCGTGCTCTCTGAGCTTGGTGGTTTTCTTGCAGATGTTTCATGACCCAAGTAGGTAACAGCATCAGTGCTAGAAGGAAGGAAGGAAGGAAGGAAGGAAGGAAGGAAGGGAGGGAGGGAGGGAAGAGGAGGAGGAAGAAAACTGTGAGGTCCTTGGTGCTGTCTGGGCTTGGATGTTTTCTCGCGGACATTTCATGACCCAAATAGGTAACATCATCAGTGCTGGAAGGAAGGAGGAGGAGGAGGAGGAGAAAAGAGGAGGAGGGAAGAGGAGGACTGTGGGGTCCTTGGTGCTCTCTGAGCTTGGTAGTTTCCTTGCAGATGTTTCATTCATTCAACATCATCGACGTTCAAAGGCTGCACAAATGGCTGTCCATTCTCATCACTGGAGGCTTTTAAGAAGAGACGGGACAGTCACCTGTCTGAAACGATATGGGTTCCCCTGCTTGAGCGGAGGGTTGGAATAGATGACCTCCCAAGGTCCCTTCCAGCTCCGTTCCGATCCTGATGGAGATTCATCTTCTCATTTCTTACCTTTGCTCATCTTTCCTACCGCTTTCTCCTGGCGTTACCTTTATGATGATCGCTTGTCGTTTGTAACTTACGATTAATGATTGTGGCTTTGTGATCTACGGCCTGCCATTTTTGTTGCTGGTATTGTATGGCGGACTGAGAGCTGGCGCGTCCTTCGGTCTCCAACCCTGCTCGGCCAAGAAAGAATTCTGCCTATCCCCCGAGCACACAGTGGGACCACTGGCAGTGGGACAATTTAGCAGTTCCATTTAATTATTTTATTTATTAAAATAAATTTAAAAAAAAAAAAACATTTTAATTTTTGCCGTCCACATTTCCTTCCGTCCGTCCCTCCTTTTCCATCCTTTCCTTAATGGTTCGAATCCAACATTTCTTTGATATTAGTGTGGCTCTTGGTGAGTTGGTTGTGGAGAGTTGGCCGAGTGAAGGGAACGTGCTGCACCTATTTTGGCCAGTAGGGGTCAGGGTTGCTGAACTTTACCTATTGGCTAGCTAGCTTAAATGCAAAACAGGTTACACAGGTAATAGCCATAGCGCTTAGATTTATATACCGCTTCACAGGGCTTTTACAGCCCTCTCCAAGCGGTTTACAGAGTCAGCCTCTTGCCCCCAACAATCTGGGTCCTCATTTGACCCACCTCGGAAGGACGGAAGGCTGGGTCAACCTTGAGCCGGTCAGGATCGAACTCCTGGCAGTCGGCAGAATTAGCCAGCAATACTACATTCTAACCACTGCGCCACCACAGTTCCTTCCTTCCTTCCTTCCTTCCTTCCTTCCTTCCTTCCATCCCATCATCCCTTTCTTTCTTTCTTTCTTTCTTTCTTTCTTTCTTTCTTTCTTTCTTTCTTTCTTTCTTTTCTTTCTCTCCTTCCTTCCTTCCATCCCATATCCTTTCTTTCTTTCTTTCTTTCTCTCCTTCCTTCCTTCCATCCCATCATCCCTTTCTTTCTTTCTTTCTTTTTTCTTTTTTCTTTCTTTCTTTCTCTCCTTCCTTCCTCCCTTCCATCCCATCATCCCTTTCTTTCTTTCTCTTTCTTTCTTTCTTTCTTTCTCTCCTTCCTTCCTTCCTTCCATCCCATCATCCCTTTCTTTCTTTCTTTCTTTCTCTTTCTTTCTCCTTCCTTCCTTCCATCCCATCATCCCTTTCTTTCTTTCTTTCTCTCCTTCCTTCCTTCCATCCCATCATCCCTTTCTTTCTTTCTTTCTTTCTTTCTCTCTTTCTTTCTCCTTCCTTCCTTCCATCCCATCATCCCTTTCTTTCTCTTTCTTTCTCTCCTTCCTTCCTTCCATCCCATCATCCCTTTCTTTCTTTCTTTCTTTCTTTCTTTCTTTCCTTCCTCCTTCCTTCCTTCCTTCCTTCCTTCCTTCCTTCCTTCCTTCCTTCCTTTTGTTTTCCCTTCCTTTCCTTCCTTCCTTTCTCTCCTTCCTTCTGTTGGAAGAAAAATCCATCTGGTTCAGGGGTGGGTTCTACTTACCTTTACTACCGGTTTGCAATGGGAGCGCGCACGTGCCTGCTTCTGCGCACGCCCAGAAGCTTCTGCACATGTGCAGATCGTCAATTCTGACGTCCGGGCGAGTGGGCCGAGCCCCCCCCCGCCACTTTTACTACCGGTTCTAAAGAACCGGAGAGAACCGGGAGCAACCGCCCGCTGATCTGGTTCCGTTCCACGCTGGGAGAAAGAGCCTGGAAAACATGGAGGCTGATTGGAAAGATGCTTTATTGATGAAGCAGAACCACCAATCACCAACCTGTGATTCTGCTGGGCAGCTGACGAAATGGAGTTGAGAGTGAGGGGTTTTTTAATGCTTTCTTTGGACTTGGCCTTGGAGCTTCCTGTTCCTGTGGAAGAACATGGCCTTTAATATTTTACTGGCTATTGTCAGATTCCTACGGGGTCATGTAGGAGTCGTAGCTGCAGGGAAGGGCTTAAAAATTTTAGCAAGGGGTTCTCTGCCTGGTTGTTGGGTGGGCGTGGCCATGGTGGGCATCAGTGGTGGGTTCCTCCCGGTTCGGTCCGGTTCGGCCGAGCCGGTAGCGGTGATGATAGGACGTCACCGAACTGGTTCTCCCCCCCCGCCATCCCACCCCCCCGACATTATTCTTACCTTTTATTTGGTCCCACCCCCAATCTATTGCTGCCTCCTGAGTCCCAGCTGATGACTAGAGGGAAAAAAAACTGTTTGAACTCTTGCCGCAGGGCTTCAAAGGGCCGCCCGACAGCTGATCAGTGTTAAAAGCAAACAAATGAGTCGGGTCGTAAGTGCGAGGACTGGTCGTAAGTGCGAGGACCTTCCAGAAATGACCCTGACCAGCTAGCCACGCCCACCTAGTCACATCACCTCCAAGCCACACCCACAAAATAAGCCACGCCCACAGAACCGGTAGTAAAAAAAATTAGAACCCACCCCTGGTGGACATGGCCTAGTTGGCCTTCTGTACCATGGGCGGGGAGCATTTTTGCCCTCCCCGGGCTCCAGAGGCTTTTCTTGAGCCTCCGGGAGGGCGATAACAGCCTCCCCAGGTTCCAGAGGCCCAAACTTCCGATAGGCCTGTTTTTCGCCCTCCCCGAGCCTCCATGCGCGCCCTGCACTTATCTGCATCCAAAATGAACCCCGTGGGGACTCTTGGGAGGGGAGGGGTGGGCCAGCCAGGAGTGGGATTTGGGGGGGGGTTCTCCGTACTGCACAGAATCTTAGCTAGTAGTTTTCCCGAACCCCTGCGAACCCCAGCAGCCCACCCCTGCAAAGCTGGCTCTCTAGGCAATGTAGTTGAAGGTCCTACTCTGGGCAGAGGGTTGAGTTAGATGATCTCCAGGGTCCCTTCCAACCCATCCATTCTGTGCTTACAAGTTTTAGGAATTCGTATGAACCTCTCCAACTGTGCAGCTAGTCCTCGACTTACAATAGTTCATGTAGTGACTATTCGGATTGATAAGGGCACTGAAAAAGGTGACCTGTGACCGTTTTTCACACATATGACCGGGGGGGCAGGTTTCAAAACCCATCGCTACCGGTTTGCGTGCGCACGCAACACTTCTACACATGCGCAGAAACGTCCAGGCGGTTGGGCAGAGCCTCCCACCACCGCCGCTACCAGTTCGGGCGAACTGGTAGCAACCCACCACTGCTTATGACCCTGTGGCCAAAATTCAGACTCTTGGCAACCGATTCATGTTTACGACACTTTCCTGGGGCCATGCAATCCCCTTTTGTGACCTCCTGACCAGCAAAGACCTTGGGGGAGCCAGGTTCACTCACTTAACAAATGCAGTGATTTGCTTAACAACGGTGGCAAGAATGGTCATAAAACAGGGCAAAACTCAACAACTGTCTCGCTTAGCTATAGAAATGTTCGGCTCGCAAGTCCAGGACCACCTGCAGCGAAGCGAACTTTTTTTTTTTTTATTGAAAAAGTTTTATTAGAAAAAAAAACACAGTTCTCCCACAACTCTCCCACCCAACCCCCCCCCTCCCCGACTTCCCAGAGCAGAACACAAGGTATTTCAGTTGACTTTTAACAATAAACTAAATTGCTTAACTATCCTTTAAACTAACACCCTCTAAAAAATAATTCTTAACCCCCCCATAGATAAAATCCTGCTTCTTGGATATAATACTTCTAAAATCACTCATGTAGCGCTTATACCATTAAAGATTCATTCATAAGCTATTTGATATTTTTAGTCTGATACTTATTTTGAATATAATCAATCCATCTTCTCCTGTCCTGTATATATCTTTCTTGTGTGTGATCCTTCAAGTATGCTGAAATTTTAGCCATTTCAGCTAAATTAGTTACTTTCAGTATCCAAGCATAGCGAAGCGAACTTTTGTGGTCGCAAGTCGAGGACTGCTTGTGGTTTAATCGACACCCCAACCTTGTCTTGCCTTGTGCTACAGAGATTACCTGTTCAAGAGCGTAGACTGCGCTCTGGTGGTGACCCAACGGCTCTACGGGGAAAACCACCTTGCGGTGCCCCTGAGGAACACAACCGGGGAAGCTATCATGGTGCTGGATCTCAACCTTGGACCCAGGCAACAGCTGTCCCCTTGCGCGCACAAGGACCTGCAGAAGATGCTGAAGATAGCGCAAGCCGCCACGCACGAGATCCTGAAAGAGGATTCCGGAGATCTGGAACCATATTATGTCTTGGGTATGTGGCACGTTGGGTGGAGAATAACCCCACCAGTATCGGCAGTCCTGGAGATCTGAGATTTTGCTTGAGCAGGGGGTTGGACTAGAAGACCTCCCAGGTCCCTTCAGTTATTCTGCTATCCTTCCTTCCTTCCTTCCTTCCTTCCTTCCTTCCTTCCTTCCTTCCTTCCTTCCTTCCTTCCTCCCTCCCTCCCTCCCTCCCTCCCTCCTTCCTTCCTTCTTTCGCCATCATGGGAGGTTTTTAAGAAGAGACTTGAAAGCCTTTTGTCTAAAATGGTACCATAGGGTCTCCTGTTTGAGAAGGGGGCAGGATTAGAAGACCTCCAAGGACCCTTCCAACTTGTTTATCCTTCCTTCCTTCCTTCCTTCCTTCCTTCCTTCCTTCCTTCCTTCCTTCCTTCCTTCCTTCCTTCCTTCCTTCCTTCCTCATCTCTGGAGGTTTTTAAGAAGAGATTCAACAAACATTTGTCTGGAATGGTATAAGGTCTCCTGCTTGAGCAGGGGGTTGGACTAGAAGACCTCCAAGGTCCCTTCTAGATTATTTCAGGCAAACGGCTGTTCAATTTCTTCTTAAAAACTTTCAGTGTTGGAGCATTCACAACTTCTGGAGGCAAATTGTTCCATTGATTAATTGTTCTAACATCTTTAAGCAGGCTGGCTGGGGAATTCTGGGAGTGGAAGCCCACCCATTTTAAAGCATGGCTGGCTGGGGAATTCTGGGAGTTTTTTTTTTTTTTTTTGCTTTGATTTATATGCCGCCCTTCTCCGGAGACTCAGGGCGGCTTACAATGCGTTAAGCAATAGCCTTCATCCTTTTGTATATATTTTATACAAAGTCAGCTTATTGCCCCCCACAAACTGGGTCCTCATTTCACCTACCTTTGAAAGGATGGAAGGCTGAGTCAACTTTGAGCCTGGTGAGATTTGAACTTGCAGTAATTGCAGGCAGCAGATGTTAATAACAGCACTGTTAATAACGGTGCTTTAGTCTGCTGCGCACCAGGCTCTTTAAGATGGGTGGAGGTCCACCCATCTTAAAGCATGCCAGCTGGGGAATTCTGGGACCTGAAGTCCACCCATCTCAAAGGTCTTCATTTGAGGCCTCCAAACAGCCTTCTTTAAAATCCCAGTTTATTGTTGCAGAGGCTGAATATGTTGGGGACTGGCGGCGCGGAGGGGTCCTCTTCTACCGCTTCATGCTGCAGGACCTGCAAAACTGCATCTGGAACCTTGACCCCTGGACCTCCTTTGGCGACATCCGATCCTTGGAGAAGCCTCCGGCTCTCGTCCACATCATCTTGAAATGCGTGGTGCTTATTTTATACCCACAGTGGGCCGGCACAGCAGAGGTGGAGCATTGGAGCACCTGCCTACAGGTGAGAGAGGCACCGCCAGGGAACAAAACCCTACAGATTTGAAATTGGGAAACAGCCAGCCAGGCTGGAAGGAGGAGTCAAGCCAGAGCCTAGCTTGGAATCTCTGCGTAGCCAGAAAATTTATTTATTTATTCATTTATTTGTTCAGCTTGTATGCCGCCTTTCTCCGAAGACTCAAGGCGGTGTGGAAAAGATGTGGCTTCTCCTGAATCCATGAAACCTTATCTGATCCTTCCCAGAGCAAGGCGGCACTTGTAGTCACCAAGCTTCCAAATTATGATCACAAATTATGTGCATGGGATTATGATCACAATGTCAGCGTTACAACGCTGGCATAGAGAGGGAGCAGAGGAGAACGAAAGATAAACTCTGAAACTTTTGCCAGATAAATCCCTTTGAAGCCTGGTTGTCGTGGAAATGAGGGGAGGGGGCACATTCCTGGGAAATGACGAGGAGAAGAAGTCTGAAGAAGGACTTGGAAGAGAGCCAATGAGAAGCAGAGATTTGGGGATCGGAAAGGGAGGGATTGGGAGGCAAAAGGTCAGTCTTGTCTGCGCGGAGTCATGATCCGGTGGCTGAGCTCAATTAAAGAAAGATTTCCTTAAAGATTGGAAATTCATTTAATTTTGAGATAGCACCGCAGTCTGACACACAAGCCTCCAAATTCACACGATCACAAGTTTAGATCAGGGGTGTCAAACTCAAGGCCCAGGAGCCGGATCCAGCCCACAGGGTGTTTAGATCTGGCCCCGGGGCCACCGTGGAAACAGCAAAGGACCGGCCCGTGGTGCCTCTGCTATCGAAAACGGAGCTCGGGAGGGCCACACGCGGCCTTCCCGAGCTCCGTTTTTGCTGGCAGGGGTGCAGGAGGCCATCGCAGCCGAAAACGGAACTCAGGAGCCCTCCTCAGGAGGTGATGTCAAGCTGGCCACACCCACCTTGGGCATGCTCACGACCCCCCCCATGTCAAATACAACCCTGATGTGGCCCTCAATGAAATCGAGTTTGACACACACACACACACACACACACACACACACACACACACACACACACACCGGTTTAAATGCTGCAATGTTCGTAAGGGTGCAAAATGGCCCCAAGTCACTTTTTTTTAATTGAAAAGTTTTAAAATGTTTTACAAACAAATTTCCCCCCCTCCTCCCCCCACCCATTCCCTTCTCCCTCCCCCCCCCATTCCCAGAGCAAAATACAGGGTATTGCATTTAACAAACATAATGTAACATAAACAAACTAACTATAATCTCTTAACACCCCCGTAGGTACCAAAATGTCAGGATAAGAAGAAAAATCATCTAAATATTTCACTCATAAGTTATTCGCAACTTTTTAGTCCCATGTTTGTTTTGTATATAGTCAATCCATCTTCTCCATTCCAGTACATATCTTTCATTCAAACGATCTTTCAAATATGCAGAGATTTTTGCCATCTCCGCCAAAGTAGCTACTTTTTTTTTTGTTTTAATTAAATTTTATTAACATAAACAAACGTAAAACACAAATACATGTAAACACTTATACATTAACAAAAAGTCAATCGACTAACTTCTAGAAAACCTTCGCATTGGTGATTAATGTCCATTTAACCAATTTTCCTTAATCATACTATTTACAAATTTACTTGCTTATACCTTAATACATTCATAGAAGTTCAGCAGTATCTTTCTACAATCATATTAACCATTTATTTATACAATCCTACGGCTCATCTCATGTATCTATTTCTGCAATTCTTGAGTTAAATTAGCTACTTTTAATGTCCATTCTTCAATAGTAGGTAATTCTTCCTTCTTCCAATATTGCGCCACCAAAAGTCTGACTGCAGTTATTAAATTCAAAATCAGATTAGTCTCTATGCCTGTACAATCTACAGTTATGCCCAATAAAAAACAACTGTGGAGTAAATTTTATCTTCCTTTTAAGAATATTTTGTATAACCCACCATATCTTAATCCAAAATGCCTTAATTTTCTTACATGTCCACCATATATGAAAATACGTTGCATCATCACCTTTACATCTCCAACATGTAGATTGTAAACTCGGGTACATACAAGCTAACTTTTTGGGATCTAAATGCCATCTATAAAACATTTTGTAAAAATTTTCTCTCAAGTTTTGGGCTTGAGTAAATTTTACATTTCTAACCCATATTTTCTCCCATACATCCATTGTTATTGATTCCCCAAAGTTTTGTGCCCATTTTATCGTACAATCCTTCACCAACTCTGTTTCTGAATCTACCACCGGAAGTCCCCCAAGTCACTTGTTTCAGTGCCGTGGTAACTTTGGTCACTAAATGAAGTGTTGTAAGTCGAGGACTGCCTGTACTCCTCCGTTGCAATTTTATATGTGGGGGGGGGGAGAGACTAAGTCTGCCGCAGCCGACTCTCCTCTTTCGCCAGCCTTTCAGCTTCGATCCCAGTGACCCCGCCTTGCCTTCTTGTTTCCCGCAGAAACTTGACGGAGAACTTATTGAAAACATTTGCTACTTCGACCCCACGGCTTCTTACGTGGATGTCCGGCCGGAGGTTCTCTACAGCTGCCTGCAAGGTAAAGAGTAAGCAATCCGACGTGGGAGGCAGGGGATGTTAGGGGTTCCCCCCCCTCCGTTAAGGAGGTCCGTCTGGGGGGACCGAGAAGAAGGGCCTTCTCCGCGGTGGCTCCCTCCCTGTGGAACATCATCCCTGCAGAACAAGATGGGTCCCAGAGCAGGGGTGAAATCCACTTACCTTCGCTCCTGGTTCGCAAACGGGAGCACGTGCGCTCGCTCGCTTCCCTCGCGACCCCTCTGTTCATACGCGGGACCTTCTACGCATGAGCAGAGCGTCAAAAACAGGACGTGATGACATCCGGGTGGGTGGGCGGAGCCTCCTGCCACCGGCGCTACAGATTCGCCCGAACCGGATAGAACCGGCTGCATATTTCTGACCCAGAAGTGATTTTCACATAATTTTACCACCGGTTTGCCGCACGCCGAAAATGCGAGCGGACGCGGCTTGCACGCACGCGCGCAGCTTAGAAAACGTGGCTAAATAGGATGGCATAGCGCCACTACCGTTTCGCCCGAACTGGTCCGAACCTTTGAATACTACCACTGATTGGTCCCCGTTTTGACATCCTTTTGAAGAATAAAAAAAAAAGTTGGAAGGGGCCTTGAAGGTCTTCTAGTCCAGTGGTCAGCAACCTCCGGCTCCAGAGCCGGATGCGGCTCTTTGGGCCCTCCGCTGTGGCTTCCTGTCAGGTGATCCCACCATTGGCTGGCCCCGCCCCTCGCCCTCCCCTCCCAGTCACTCCTTGCCTGGGCGGAGAAGGTAAGAGCGACGGCGGGGGGATGGAGAAGCGGCCAGGGTAGAGACAGAGAGATACAGAGAGAGGGGGAGAGAGAGAGAGAGACATAGAGAGATACAGAGAGAGAGGGAGTGTGGGAGAGAGAGAGAGGGAGGGAGGAAGGGGGAGAGAGAGAGATGTCAAAAGGATTTTGTGGTTCCCGGTGTTTTTTCACAACTGGTTCTCTGCCCTAATGACTGGCTGGGGAGGCGTGGCTAGGGGAGGGGTCATGTGACTGGTAGAAATGAGTGACATCGAGTTGGCCACGCCCACCCAGGTTTTGTGGCTCCCGGTGTTTTCTTTTCTGCGGGAAACGGGTCCAAATGGCTCTTTTGGAGTATTTAAGGTTGCAGACCCCTGTTCTAGTCCAACAGCCCCTCAAAGTCGCAAATGTCAGTCACGTGATCTCTGGACCGCAACCGTCGTAAATAAAGGCAGGTTGCCAAGCGCCTAGCTTTTGATCACAAAAGGAAATGCTGCAACGGTCCTAAGTGCGAGGACCAGTCGTAAGTCACTTTTTTTTCACCGCTGTTGTAATTCTCCTTGCGGAATTTTATTAGCCTAACAAAATTATGAAATATAGGAATACGGGAGGTCCTCGACTTACGAAAATGGACACCAAAATTTCTTCATTAAGCGAAACATTTGTTATTTTTTTCCCCCATTTTACAACCTTTCTTGCCACAGTTGTTATAGGAACCGCTGCTGTTGTTAAGTTAGTCACATGGTCATTAAGTGAATCTGGCTTCCCCATTGACTTTGCTTGGCAGAAGGTCGCAAAAGGGGATCATGTAACCCCCGGGGATGCTGCGACCGTCATAAATATGAATCGGTTGCCAAGCCTCTGAATTTTGATCTCGCGACCACGGGGATGCTAAAAACAGTCGCAAGTGTGGAAAACGGTCGTAAGTCGCTGTTTTTCAGGGCCGTTGTAGCTCTGAACGGTCGCTAAATGAATCATTGCAAGTCGAGGACTACCTGTAGAAAGAAAATAACGGGATAAAAGGGGAGGAGGAGGAGGAAGGGGCGAGGAAAAAGAAAAGCGTGCTGTTACTTGGTCGTAAATCGAGGACTGCCCGTCGAAACTAATCCGGCATGTGTCTGTGTGTTTCCGAAACCAACTAGGTGCACGTCGGAAAGCGGTCTGGAGGTTCGGCTCGGCTCCGTTAGAGTACCTTTACAACTGGGCGCGCGCCTGCCTGTCCTTGATCGAAATGGCCAAGAAGCTTCAGCATCGCGACAGCCTGACCGAATTGACTTCGGCCCTTTTAACGCCCACGCTGTCTCAGTCCATCCGGTCGTCGCAGATTTCGACTCTCCGCTCCACCTCTTTTTGCTACCCGCTCAATCCAAGCTGGGGCCCAAGTTCGTAGCCTTCGTTCAACGTTGCAGCGCCTCATTTCCCAGGCGGGAGTTATAGTTCTCGCCTGTAATTCCGAAACCTTTCGATAGGGGGGGCGAGAGAGAGAGAAAATCGGGGTACAAAGCAGGGAAGTGCCAAACCAGCTGGGTTCTTGCAACCCACAAAGTGGGGGGGGGCTTCACAAAAGATTTGCAAATAAGCGCCTTGTTTCCCAGGCGGGAGTTATAGTTCTCGCCAGTAATTCCGAAACATTTCGATGGGGGGGGGAGAGAGAAAATCGGGGTACAAAGCAGGGAAGTTGGGTTCTTGCAACCCCCAAAGTTCAGAGTTAAAAGTGGGGGAGGGGCGCTTCACAAAAGATTGGCAAACAAGCGCCTTGTTTCCCAGGCGGGAGTTATAGTTCTCGCCTGTAATTCCGAAACCTTTCGATAGGGGGCGAAAGAGAGAGAGAGAGAGAAAAAAAATTGGGGTACAAAGTTCAAAACCAGCCAGTTTCTTGCAACCCACGCAATTAAAAGGGGCGGGGGGAGCTTCACAAAAGATTTCCACCCTGTAGCATCTTTTGAGGAATTATTCCAATAGAATAAAGAGGGGGAAAAAAGGGGGTGCCTTGCCCTTCCTCCCCGACTCATTCACCGCCCCCCCCCGGCCAAGAAATAACAAGTTTTCCCATTGGCTGTTTGCCGGAGATGACAACACCGTTCCCCGCTATCTTCGGAAGCATCGTTTTTAATAAAATTTGGGGGAAATTAAAATATTTTTATTTCTCCTCCTCCTGACAAAACACAACGTCTTATCTGGCAAGCGTTTTGCAACTGGAGATTACAAGCTGATTTTTCAGGCTGCCGATAAAATACGCCGCGGTGTTATTACAACCGGCAATCCTTTTGATAATCGGCCGCGGTCGAGAGCCGGGGAGGGTTTAATATTGGGAAGACGGAGGGAGAAAGAGAGAGAAACACGATAATCCTGGAAATAAGTTTTGCAATCTTTTTTCCGATGCAGAGAAGTTTTGGGGTGGGAGTGGGGGTTGCAGTCCAGCAGCTCTGAACGAACATTTCTTTTTAATGAAATGAAAAGTCTGCTAATATACAGCTAAGTCCTCGACGTACGACCACAACTGAGCCCAAGATTTAGGTTGCTGAGTGAAAAACGTGTTAAGTGAGTTTCGTCCCATTCTACGACCTTTCTTGCCACCGTTGTTAAGTGAAGCACTGCGATTGTTAAGTCTGTAACACGGTTGTTAAGTGAGTCGGCTTCCCCATTGACTTTGCTTGTCGGAAGGTCGCAAAAGTTGATCACATGAATAGGATAGGATAGCATAGAATAGCATGGAATACAGAATACAGAATATAGAATAGCATATAGAGAATATAGAGAATAGAATAGAATAGAATAGAATAGAATAGAATAGAATAGAATAGAATAGAATAGAATAGAATAGAATAGAATAGAAAATATGGAATGGAATAGAATGGAATAGAATAGAATAGAATAGAACAGAAAATATGGAATGGAATAGAATGGAATAGAATAGAATAGAATAGAATAGAATAGAATAGAATAGAATAGAATAGAATAGAATAATGGAGTTGGAAGGGACCTTGGAGGTCTTCTAGTCCAACCCCCTGCTCAGGCAGGAAACCCTACACCACTTCAGACAAATGGTTATCCAACATCTTCTTAAAAAACTTATTTATTTATTTTTATTTTATTTTGATTTATGTGCTGCCCTTCTCCGGAGACTCAGGGCGGCTTACAATGCGTTAAGCAATAGCCTTCATACTTTTGTATATTTTATACAAAGTCAGCTTATTGCCCCCACAAACCAGGTCCTCATTTTACCCACCTTAGAAAAGATGGAAGGCTGAGTCGACCTTGAGCCTGGTGAGAATTGAACTCGCAGTAATTGCAGGCAGCTGGAAGCTAAATACTCCCTTTAACAGTAGCATTAGTCTGCTACGCCACTCAGGCTCTTCAAATGTTCTTCAAATGTTCGCTAAGTTAACTGTTGTAAGTCGAGGACTACTTGTACACTCAACAGTTTATCTTCAAAGTTACTGGGAAGGTTAAGAGTGGGGAGAACTTCGGATGGGACCACCACTGTTGTGCCTGCACCCCTTAAGCGTTCAGAAAAAGCCACGATGACCTCCAGAGAGTCTGACCTGAGAATTGTCCATGCTGTTGCCAGCCGTGCCCGCTTCACGCTTAGGATGCAGCTTCAGGCTGGCTACTTCAGCTCTGGCGGTCCCGGGTGAGGAATGTTCTAGGGATCAAGAGGCAGACATCTTGGAAATGAATTAAAGATTTAAGGAGAGAGAGAGAGCCACCAGAAATCGTGGGTGCTCCATCACTGGAGATTTTTAAGAAGAGATTAATTGGACAGCCACTTCTCTGAAATGTTGTAGGGCAGTGATGGCGAACCTTTTTGCCGTTGTGTGCCAAAAGCGGGGGGAAGGCGGAGGGGTCACGTGTGCATGTGCTCCCCCCCGCATGCATGTGCAACCCCCCCACGGTCCCCCCGCATTTGGTATGCGGTGGCCCCAACCTCTGGAGCCTGGGGAGGACGAAAAAGGGCCTTCCGGTTCCACCGGAAGTCGGGAAATGGGCTGTTTCTGGCCTCCAGAGGGCCTCCAGTGGGTGGGGAAGGCTGTTTTTTTTTCCCCTCCCCAGACTCCTAGAAAGCCTCTGCAGCTTGGGAGGGCAAAAAACGGGCCTTCCGGTCCCACCGGAAGTCAGGAAATGGGCCATTTCCAGCCTCCGGAGGGCTTCCGGGGTCCGTGGGAAGGCCCTTTTTGCCCTCCCCAGGCTCCAAGAAAGTCTCTGGAGCCTGGGAGAGTGGAAAATGGGCCTTCCGGGCCCACCGGAAGGCGGGAAATAGGCTGTTTCCCGACTTCCGGTGGGCCCGGAAGGCCCGAAAATCAGCTAGCCGGTGTGCTGGAGCTAAGTTAGGGTAACCCTCACGTGCCCACAGATATGGCTCCACGTGCCACCTGTGGCACGTGTGCCATAGGCTCACATCACGGGCCTTCCATGCCAATGATTGTAGAGGGAAAGAGGGATGAGGGAAGGGGGAGGGAAGGGAAGGGAAGGAAAGGAAAGGAAAGGAAAGGAAGGGAAAGGGAAGGGAAGGGAAGGGAAGGAAAGGGAAGAAGGAAAGGGAAGGGAAGGAAAGGAAAGAAAGGGAAGGAAGGGAAGGGAAGGGAAGGGAAAGGAAAGGAAAAGAAGGGAAAGGGAAGGGAAGGAAAGGGAAGGAAGGGAAAGGAAAGGAAGGGAAAGGGAAGGGAAGGGAAGGAAAGGAAAGGAAAGGAAAGGAAAGGAAAGGAAAGGAAAGAAAGGGAAGGAAGGGAAGGGAAGGGAAGGGAAGGAAAGGAAAAGAAGGGAAAGGGAAGGGAAGGAAAGGGAAGGAAGGGAAAGGAAAGGAAGGGAAAGGGAAGGGAAGGAAAGGAAAGGAAAGGAAAGGAAAGGAAAGGAAAGGAAAGGAAAGGAAAGGAAGGGAAAGGGAAGGGAAGGGAAGGGAAGGAAAGGAAAGGAAAGGAAAGGAAAGGAAAGGAAAGGAAGGGAAGGGAAAGGGAAGGGAAGGAAAGGAAAGGAAAGAAAGGAAAGGAAAGGGAAGGAAAGGGAAAGGGAAGGAAAGGGAAGGGAAGGAAAGGAAAGAAAGGGAAGGAAAGGAAGGGAAGGGAAGGGAAAGGAAAGGAAAAGAAGGGAAAGGGAAGGAAAGGGAAGGAAGGGAAAGGAAGGGAAAGGGAAGGGAAGGAAAGGAAAGGAAAGAAAGGAAAGGAAAGGAAGGGAAGGAAAGGGAAAGGGAAAGGAAGGGAAAGAGAAGGGAAGGAAAGGAAAGGAAAGGAAAGGAAAGGAAAGGAAAGGAAAGGTGGATGGGAACTAATCAAGGAGAGAAGCAATGTAGAATTAAGGAGAAAGTTCCTGACAGTGAGGACAATTAACCAGTGGAACAGCTTGCCACCAGAAGTTGTGGGTGCTCCATCACTGTAGGTTTTAAGAAGAGACTGGTCTAGAATGGTATGGTATGGGGTCTCCTGCTTGAGCAGGGGGTTGGACTAGAAGACCTCCAAGGTCCCTTTCAGCTCTATTCTGACTTCTTTAAATTCTGAGACATGGGAATGCAGGACCAAAGTGAGCAGACAGGTGAGGGGGGCAAACAGAGCGGATAGGAGGGGCTGCACTGCTCATCTGCAATTATGGAGGGCAGCTCGGCTAACTGGGTGAGCATGGAGAGGTTTCCTGGCTAAGCAGGAGCTCTTTGGAGAAGGGCATACAGCTGTGGTTCTCAGCCACTTGAAGGCAGGTGGACTTCAACTCCCAGAATCCCCCAGCCAGCAGAATTTAAGATGAGTGGGGGGTTCTGGGAGTTGAAGTCCACCCACCCACAAGCAGCCAAGGTTGGTAAACCCTGATGAATGACAAGGACCAGGCAGCCACTCCAGCACCACCTTCCCCGCTCCGGAGAGAAGAGAAGCTGGTCAGTTCTCGCCATCAGAGCCATCAAATCTGAGGACAAGCGATGACCAGAGATGATCAAGTGTGTTTGTGTGTCTCTGCGGACAACGCACACCTCCTACCTCCCAAAGCCAAGCATGAAGTCCAAAGAAGCCCGAACTGCAAATGCAACCTTCGCAACACACAACGTACTAGCCTTAATAGGAAAAGTGGGTCCTATTACCACATTCACAGTATGTTGGGGGGGAAATACTAATAGGAGATGTTAATGAAAATGGGAAAATAGAAGGAGGAAAGATTTGGTATGATTGAAATTACTCAGAAAAGAATAAAGTCAGGTTTATTTATTTATTTATTTATTTATTTATTTATTTATTTATTTATTAATTAATTAATTAATTATATTTCTATACCGCCTTTCTCCGTAGGACTCAAGGCGGTGTACAGTCAAGAAAAATATAGACACACAAACATCATAAAATTGCTAATTAAAATTATTACTTAGTTTGGTCAATTAAATAAAACCCAGAATTAGATCACATTTAAAAAATCATTCACAGGTTCATATGTTTAGCCCCGCTTGTTGGAACATCAGGGTCTTGAGGGCACGGCGGAAAGGTTAAAAAGAACTAATAAATAAATGTATTGAAAGGGAAATTTCCATTTTAGAACTGAAAAAAATCTTTTTAAAATAGGTGTTTGGAAAGAGACAATTTCTTTTGGTAGACAGGGATAGGTAGGTAGGTAGATAGATGATAGATAGATCTAGAAAGATAGATAGATGATAATTGATAGATACATAGATTGATATTGATTGATAACTAGAGATAGATGATAGACACAGATAGCTAGATCATAGATAAAGATAGATAGATAGATAGATAGATAGATAGATAGATAGATAGATAGATAGATAAAATGCCATTTCTTTGCCTCAAATTTAACCTTTTCAAAGGGACATTTTGAAATTAAAGTTTCCTCATTTGACAAACTGTTGGTCCCCAAAAATGAAAATTAATTTTAAATTAATTAAAAGTAAAAAAATAATAATTTAATTCATTAAAATTAAAAATATAAAAATAATTTAATTCATTAAAATTAAAAAAATAAAAATTAATTTAATTCATTAAAATTAAAAAAAGAAAATTAATTCATTAAAAGGAGCCTTGATGGTACAGTGGTCTATGCACCCTGTTATTAACACAGCTGCCTGCAATTACTGTAAGTTCGAATCTCACCAGGCTCAAGGTCGACTCAGCCTTCCATCCTTTCTAAGGTAGGTGAAATGAGGACCCAGATTATGGGGGCAATAAGCTGACTTTGTATAAATATACAAAAGGATGAAGGCTATTGCTTAATGCACTGTAAGCCGCCCTGAGTCTCCGGAGAAGGGCGGCATATAAATCAAATTAAAAAAAAATAAAAAAAAAGTTGTGGTTGCTTCCATCACTGGACGTTTTCAAGAAGAGATTGGACAGCCATTTGTCTGAAATCGTGTAGGGTCTCCTGCTCCCTTCCAACTCAATTATTCTACTATCCTTCCTTCCTTCCTCCTTCATTTCTTTCTTTCATCTTTCTTTCTTTCCTTTCTTTTTTCTTTCCTTCCTTCTTTCTTTCTAGAAATATAGAACCCTAAGGCTGGAAGGGACCTTGGAGGTCATCTAGTCCAACCCCCCACCCAAGCAGGAGTCCCTACATCATTTTTGACAAATGGCAGTCCGGTCTCTTCTTGGAAGCCTCCAGGGATGAAGCTCCCACAACTTCCGAAGGCAACTTCTCTTCCATGGGTTGATTGCTCTCACTTTCAGAAAAATTCTCCTTATTTCCAAATTAGATAATAAAAGTCTTGGTAGTACAGTGGTCTAAGGCACCCTGTTATTAAGCTGGTTATTAAGACCAGCTGCCTGCAATTTCTGCAGGTTCGAATCTCGCCAGGCTCAAGGTTGACTCAGCCTTCCATCCTTTCTAAGGCAGGTAAATTGAGGACCCAGTTTGTGGGGGCAATAAGCTGACTTTGTATAAATATACAAAAGGATGAAGGCTATTGCTTAATGCACTGTAAGCCGCCCTGAGTCTCCGAGAAGGGCGGCATATAAATCAAATTAAAAAAAATAAATAAATAAAAAAAAATGTAATTCATTACAATTTTAAAAAATGAAAATTATTTTGATTCATTAAAATTAAAAAGAATGAAAATTATTTTGATTCATTAACATTAAAAAAAGAAAATTAATTCATTAAAATTTTAAAAAAATGAAAATTAATTTTTGTTAAATTAAAATCAAAACCTCAGAATTGGACCCCTTTTTTGGGGGGAGGGGTTTTTTTCCCCCCTTCCTTTCTCTTATTTTTCCCCATCTTCGGACAAGAAGGATGCGCTTCCTGGGCATGCGCAGAACGCCTCCCTTTTCCCTCCGCCCACCCCGAGATGACGCGTGCAGAGCAAGAAGGAAGGCGGGGCGGGGCCTGGAAGATACGGGGCGGGGCATCGCGCAGGCCCGGCCTCTAAGATGGCGGCGCCCGGAAAACAGTGAGTCCGGCCTTGTTGTCGGCGGACGGCCGGGGGGCCTCTGAGCATGGGCAGACGGCGCCCGCGGCGGGAGGGGGGCAGAGGGAGGGGGCTGCTGAGGTCTGAGGGGGGGGATCGCGGCCTACTCCAACGCGAGGCCCGAGGAGGGGGGGGGTCAATGACGTCATTCGAGGGGGGGCTGGAGGGAGGGGGCGAGCTTGACCTGGATGGCCCCCTCCCCAGTCCTGGGACCCCCCCCACCCCACCCCCTCAGTTGGGGGAGGGGTCTCTTTCCATACTGGGGATTTCCCCTCCCCCCCCAAAAAAATTGGGTGGTTTGTTCCTCTGTGGATACGAAATTGTATTGTTATTATTGTCATTGTGTTGTTTTTGTTGTTATTGTTGTTATTCTACACAAGAAGATGAAGTCCAGAGATGGGCTTGTCCGTCATCCGCATCTTGGCAGGACGGTTTTAAAAAATACAATAAAAAGTTATATATATATATATGTTTCCTTTATATATATATAATCTATATTTAATCTATTTAAAATTTTGTATCTCTGTGTTTTATCTTTTGGCTGTTCACCGCGCTGAGTCCTTCGGGAGAAGGGCGGTATAGAAATTTAATAAAATAAAATAAAAATAAAATAAATATATGTATAAAGGAATATATATATATATATAAATATATAAATATAAATATAACGCATTGTAAGCCGCCCTGAGTCTCCGGAGAAGGGCGGCATATAAATCAAATAAAAATAAAAATAAATAAATAATTATATATATATAAAGTTATATATGTTTTCTGAGGTTTTCGCAGGTGTTTGTATGTAGGTCTTTGGTTATTCGGGTTTTCTCCCGAATTAAAAGGAAGAAACAGCTGCGATCACACACATTGTTCCTAGACGCACGAAGCCGAAAACAGCAGCCACCAGAAACGTTGCCAAGACACCTCCAATTTTACGCATGTGTATATATACACACACACACACACACATACATACATACATACATACATACATACATACATACATACATACATACAAAGTGGTTTTCTAACATCACCCCCCCACTGATAAGCAAGCTAGGAGGGAGGAAACAGTAGGAATCAAGCCTCCATCATCCGGCAGGAGGACAGCAAAAACAACACAGCTGATTACAAGTGGGAGACGGCTTAAAGCATTAATACAAGTAGTCCTCAACTTACAACAATTCGTTTAGCGACCGAAGTTAGAATGGCACTGGAAAAAGTGACTTAACGGCAATTTTTGACACATGCAACCATTGCAACATCCCTATGGTCACGTGATCAAAATTCAGACAACTGACTCACATTTATGACAGTTGCAGAGTCCCCGGGGTCACGTGATCCCGTTTTGCGACCTTCTGACAAGCCAAGTCAACGGGGAAGCCAGATTTGCTTTACGACCGTGTTACTAACTCAACAGTGGTTCATTTAACAACCATGGCAAGGTCATAAAATAGGGCAAAATTCACTTAACAGATGTTTCATTTAACAACATAAATGTTGGGTTCAAGTGTGGTAAATCGAGGACCACCTGTAATACAGGGAGTCCTCAACTTACGACCACAGTTGAGCTGCAGCCGTCGTAAATTTGAACTGGTAGCTAGGCACCTGAATCTCGATCACGTGGCCATGGGGATGTTGCTAAGGGTGAAAAATGGACGTAAATCACTTTTTTTTTTATTGCTGTTGTAACTGAATGGTTACTAAATGAATCGTAAGTTGTGGACTCTGTAATAGGCAGCTGGGACAATGGCCTGCTGGGGAATTCTGGGAGTTGAAATCCACACTTCCTGATGTTGCGAGCTTGGGCAAAAACTGCCATACTATTCAGCCAACAAAGGTGCTTCTTCATTGTGAATTAACTAAGCGTAGTAAGGTTATATGTACGTATTTTATCACAGGCATTTGTACACCCATCGCAAGATACTCTGTTTTAAAATCGAACAAAACAGGCAATTGATCAAATAAAGTCAAACTTCTTGTAAAGTGAAAAGTGGGTGAACGAAACTGCATATACAGGTAGTCCTTGACTTACAACAGTTCATTTTGTGACCGTTTAAAGCAGAGGCCTTCAAACTTGGCAGCTTGAAGACTTGTGGACTTCAATTCCCAGAATTCCCAAGCTGGCTGGAGAATTCTGGGAGTTGAAGTCCACAAGTCTTCAAGCTGCCAAGTTTGAAGAGCTCTGCTTTAAAGTTACAACAGCACTGAAGCAAAGTGATTTATGATCATTTTTTTGACACTTGCAGCATCCTTCTTGGTCACATGATCAAAATCCAAACACTTGGCAACTGACTCATATTTATGACCGTCGCAGTGTCCCGGGGTCATGTGATCCCCTCTTGCAAGCTTCCGACAAGCAAAGTCAATGGGGCAAGACAGATTCACTTAACAACCGTGTGACTAACTTAACAACCGCAGTGAGTCACTTAACTCTGCGAAGAAAGCTGCAAAATTCACTTAACAACCGTCGCGCTTAGCAACGGAAATGTTGGGCTCAATTGTGGTCGTAACTCGAGGACTGCCTGTACCTTGTTTTGCTCCTAGACAATCGACAGGATGTAAGTCTAAAATTAATGAAACCATGGTGAATCCCGTAGACATAAAACTTTTGATTTTCTCTGGACAGGTATGGACTTATCTTTCCTAAGAAGGTTCAGCAGAAAGGACTGGTCAAGCATGCTGCGTTTATGGACGACTCCGACGAAGAGGTCAGTGTCTGGAGCGGCTGTTGATTGGTCGGTGTGAGTGAGGTCTTGTGCGTTGCCTGCCAAAGCGTGACTTTCATCGGCACGTAACCCTGGCGAAGTTAGTCCGAGGCCCATCCTGTGTTTTATGTCTCACATAAGTCCCAAAGTTTTTAGGTCAGGGGTCGGGAATCGGGGCCCTTTTATGTCTGGTGGACTTCAACTCCCAGAATTCCTGAGCCAACCATGGCTCAGGCTGGCTCAGGAATTCTGGGAGTTGAAGTCCACAAGTCTTAAAAGGGCCATCGTTCCCCATGCTGGCTCAGGAATTCTGGGAGTTGAAGTCCACAAGTCTTAAAAGGGCCATCGTTCCCCATGCTGGCTCAGGAATTCTGGGAGTTGAAATCCACAAATCACAAAAGGGCCATCGTTCCCCATAGTGGCTCAGGAATTCTGGGAGTTGAAGTCCACAAATCTTAAAAGGGCCATCGTTCCCCATGCTGGCTCAGGAATTCTGGGAGTTGAAGTCCACAAGTCTTAAAAGGGCCATCGTTCCCCATAGTGGCTCAGGAATTCTGGGAGTTGAAGTCCACAAATCACAAAAGGGCCATTGTTCCCTATCCCTGTTGTAGGATTTCCTTGTCAGGTACAGGTTTGAGCCTCATTGTAATTTGGGTTGTCTACTTTTACACTTTGTCCACCTGTGTTATACAAAAGTGGGTACCCAGAGCTGGGCCTACGATTCAGGAGGCGAACAAATCAAGTTGCGGTTTTATTTTCAGTCCTTCATCTTGAATTTGGTTTTTCCCCCCCCCCCCCAAGCTGTTGCTCACCAAGTCAACACATGTGACTTCAAGATCTCTGACAAAACTCAAACGAGCTAACCATACCTGCATGGAATTCAAACTATTGTGAAGTCTCGGAATGAATTCTGGGTGCTGAAGTCCACCCATCTTAAAATTGCTATGGCTGAGAAATACTGCTATAATACCATCCAGTTATCAGTCCCAAAGGTGCTGTTTTCAGGAGGCAACTGGACTTTCTGGTTTTTCTTTGAAGACGTTTCGCTTCTCATCCAAGAAGCTTCTTCAGCTCTGACTGGATGGTAGGGAATGGAAGGATTTACACTCCTTGCAGACAGCTGCTCATTTGCATCCTTTTAGAGGGTCATTGAGGCAACCTGGAGGGTTACCTGTGTCCTCAGGGTCACCTGAGTGGTGCAAGTGGGCGTGGAGCCTCCTTGGAACTGCTGAAAGGACCAGAGATAAGATGATTTTGTATCCCTCCCTTTCTCAGAGAAGGTTCCACACCCATTTGCACCACTCAGGTAACCCTGAGGACAGAAATAAACCAAGTGGCTTCAACGACCCTCAAAAAGGATGCAGATTATTTTATTATTTATTTTATCATATTTGTATACCGCCCTACTCCCGGAGGACTCGGGGCGCTGAACAGCCAAGATAAAAATACAAATAACATACAAAAGTTAAAAGCTATTAAAAATAGATTAAATAATTTGGGCTCAAAAAACAAATTTAAGACATCCAATTTATGTAAAACATTTAAAACCCAATTTAAAAGGGAGATGACCATCTGTCTGCAAGGAGTATCAATCTTTCCATTCGCCCACCATCCAGTCAGAAGCTGAAGAAGTTTCTGGGATGAGAAGCAAAACGTCTTCAAAGAAAAACCAGGAACTCCTTTTTGCCTCTTGAAAAAAAGCACCACAAAGCGATTTCAAATTACGATTTGTGATTGTCTGGGTCTTTGTGGAGATGCAACCGCTGAGCCTCTCTTTGCCAAACAAAATACAGGTAATCCTTGATTTACGATCAGAATTGAGCCCCAGATTTCTGTTGCTATGCGAGACAGTTGTTAAGTGAGTTTCTGCCCCATTGTTCGCCCTTTCTTGCCACCGTTGTTAAGTGAATCATTGCAGTTTTTAAGTTTATTTTATTTATATTTGAATTCATATACCCGCCCTTCTCCCCCTAGGGACTCAGGGCGGTGAACAGCCGAAATTAAAATACATACAATATAAAAGTTAAGATAGCTAAAATAAATGAAATCAAGTTAGGAAAGACGGTCGTTAAGTGAAACCTGGCTTCCCCACGGACTTTGCTTGTCGGAAGGTCGCAAAAGGGGATCACGTGACACCCCCCCGGGACGCTGTGACCGTCATAAATACGAATCAATTGCCACGCGCCCGAATACGGATGACGTGACCAAATGGAGATTCGGCAAGGGTCGTAAGTGCAAAAAAAAAAACGGTTGTAAGTCACTTCTTTCTGTGCTGTGTTAACTTCGAATGGTCACTAAACGAAGTGTTGTAAGTCGAGGAGGACGTGTATTGCTGCGGGATGACATGGGCTGAGCCATTTTTGCAATTTTGTAAAAAAAAACAAAAAAGTATGCATTTATTTATCATACTACTTCAGAGATCTTCAAACTTGGCAGCTTTCAGGCTTGTGGACTTCAACTCCCAGAATTCTCCAGCCAGCTATGCAGCTTTCAGGCTTGTGGACTTCAACTCCCAGAATTCTCCAGCCAGCTATGCTGGCTGGAGAATTCTGGGAGTTGAAGTCCTCAAGCCTGAAAGCTGCCAAGTTTGAAGACCTCTGCGACTAGTTCAATCATACAGCCTCCTATTTGGCGGTTCTCAAAATCTGTGATTTAAGTCAAAAGGCGTTTTTCCAGTAGAGGGTGCTACACACCAAGACACACAAATTTGTGTCGCTTTTTGTGAGGGAGAAAGCAGCGTCAAGCTCCGTGGAAGGACCGTAGAAACACAGGCGGTTTCCTCGACGTACGACCACAATTGAGCCCAAATATTTCTGTTGTTAAGTGAGACAGTCGTTATTTTTTGCCCCCTTTTACCTCACCTTTCTTGCCTCAGTCGTTAAGCGAATCACGGCCGTTGATATGTTAGCCACCACGGTCGTTAAGCGAATCCGGCTTCCCCCGTTGATTTTGCAAAAGGTCGCAAAAGGGGATCGTGTGAGCGGGGGGACCGTCATAAATATGAGACGCTTCTCAAGCGCTCCAAACTTCGATCACGCGACCGTGGGGACGCTGGAAAGGTCATAACTGTGAAAAACGGTCGTAAGTCGCTTTTTTCCCATGCCGTAACTTTGGTCACTAAACGAACCATTGTAAGTCGAGGACTAGCTGTACTTGCTTGACCGAAGCAAAGACTCAGTGTAAACATTTGGCCATCGGGTAGTCCTCAATGTACGACCACAATTGCCACCAGAAATTCCATTGGTTGTTAAAGCGATGCACACCTGATTTTTACAGGTAATCCTCAACTTACAACAATCGACAACACAGGTCCTTGCAGCAGTTCCAAGAAGGCTCCACACCCATTTGCACCACTCAGGTGACCCGTCCCTGAGGACAGAGATAAACCTCAGGTGACCTTAACAACTCCCTAATGACCAGCTGTCTGCAAGGAACCTAAATCCTTCCCTTCCCCACCATCCAGTCAGAGCCGAAGAAGCTTCTTGGATGAGAAGCGAAACGTCTTCAAAGAAAATCCAGAAAGTCCAGTTGCCTTTTGAAAAAAGCACCTTTGGGACAATCCTGGCCCGGAGGACGGAGTAGCTCCATAGACATATACATTTAGGCAAGAAAACCAAAATGCACAGGTACCGTATAGGTGGTAGCTTGCTCAATTGTAGTAACTGCGAGATGGACCTTGGAGTCCTAGTGGACAATCACTTTTTTTTTTTTAATTTGATTTATATGCCGCCCTTCTCCGGAGACTCAGGGCGGCTTACAGTGCGTTAAGCAACAGCCTTAATACTTTTGTATATTTTTACAAAGTCAGCTTATTGCCCCCACAAACTGGGTCCTCATTTCACCTACCTTAGAAAGGATGGAAGGCTGAGTCAACCTTGAGCCTGGTAAGATTCGAACCTGCAGTAATTGCAGGCAGCTGTGTTAATAACAGGGTGCTTTAGACCACTGTACTACCAAGGCCCTTAAATAGGAGCCAGCCGTGTGCAGCAGCTGCCAAAAAAGCCAACACAGTTCTAGGCTGCATCAACAGAGGGAGAGAATCCAGATCATGTGAAGCCCTACTAAGCAGGTATATACAAAAAGTATGAAGGCTATTGCTTAACTCGTTGTAAGCCGCCCTGAGTCTCCGGAGAAAGAGCGGCATATCTTAATCTTTATCTTTTATTAGATTTGTATACCGCCCTTCTCCTTTCGGACTCAGGGCGGTGAACAGCCAAAATAAAAACATTGGTACACAAAAGTTAAAATATTTTTTTAAAAATAATTAAATGAAATTTGGCCCATAATTTAAAACATTTCAATTAAAAATCAGTATGAAACATTAAAACCAACATGGAATCAGGCCAGCTGATCGAACCAATAAATAAATAAATAAATAAATAAGTAAGTAAGTAAGTAAGTAAGTAAGTAAGTAAGTAAGTAAGTAAGTAAGTAAGTGTTAATACCACTTGATAAGGCCACACTTGGAATACGGCATCGAGTTCTGGTCACCACAATATCAAAAAAGATGTGGAGACTCTGGAAAGAGTGCAGAGAAGAGCAACAAAGATGATTAGGGGACTGGAGGATGAAACATAGGAAGAACGGTTGCAGGAACTGGGTATGTCTAGTTTGAAGAAGAGAAGGACTAGGAGAGACATGATAGCAGAATTCCAATATCTCAGGGGCTGCCCCAAAGAAGAGGGAGTCAAGCTATTCTCCAAAGCACCTGAGGGCAGGACAAGAAGCAATGGGCGGAAACTAATCAAGGAGAGAAGCAAGAGATTTCCTGATAGTGAGAACAATTAATCAGTGGAACTGCTTGCCACCAGAAGTTGTGAATGCTCCAACACTGAGAGTTTTTAAGAAGAGATTGGACAACCATTTGTCTGAAATGGTATAGGGCCGTGATGGCGAACCTATGGCCAGAGGTGGCATGCAGCGCCCTCTCTTGATGGCACGCGAGCCATTGCCCCAGTTCAGCCCCACTGCATATGCGCGTGTGCCTCCCGCCGGCCAGCTGG